ATTATGTAATCCGACTTCTCAATAACATGTCTTTTTGATATTGTTACCTCCAAGCTTTAATGACTTTATATCAAATAATAAGTGATTATTGCAATGGCGTTTATTACTGAACTATGGGAATCCGTATTCACTCCTGGTACTAGCCCCGCGTTAATTAAGGCTACGCATGGCTCTTTCATTCTATTAATTATCTCATTAATTTCATTGATATATTTAAGCGGTTCAATACATTTTATAAACTTATTAATTATTGCCCTCTTCTTATATGGAACAGTAGTTTGGTTTATCAATGAGTTGCAGCAACTTAAGCTGAAGGCCAATGAGGAGCTGGGAGAGCCTGTGAATGACGGTTCCGAGGAGTTAACATCGAAACATAAAAGTTTCAATCGTCTTTCAAATGCACATTCAGCGACAGAAGAAGCGGTTGACAAAGATAGCCGCTTAAAGTCTGATAGTACAAGCACTTCAATAGACAAAAAGCTGGTTCCTTTGAAAAGAAAGACTTAGGATCCGCATGTTGACTCGTGAAAATCAAACTATTTTGTATATAAAGCTTTGCATTGACCCTACCTTTCAGTATTTCATTTACAATTTATAGTTTTAAGTCTTCTATATCTTTTAGTTTCAAGGGATCAAAGTGATTTTTATTCGAATTCCTCAATATCTCAATTGCAAGTTTCGCAAAAGCGTAAACCAACCCCGACGCAGTTGTCAGACTAAGATAACAAGTTATGAGCTTTAGAAATGCACTTCAAGCCTATATAGACGATCCTGATCGCTTCAAAGATGTCATTTTGTATAGTGACGAGAATGCTCTTATAATAAAGGACATGTATCCGAAATCTATAAGACACTATTTAGTTATACCAAAAGATAAGAAGGTCACTCATTTGCATCCATTAGGGGCCTTTAAAAGCGACGTCTCGTTATTCATTAAGTTTGATACTTATATTGAGATTGCGAAGCGTTTGATAGTCGATGATCTTCTTGAGAGTGGCTTGCTTAGTCGAAACGACAGTGATAAACCATATCTTTCAGAATTTTCAAGTCAGTTTATAAAGGCCGGGGTTCATGCTGTTCCATCCTTAAATAATCTACATATTCATGTCATAACAAATGACTTTTTTTCTTCACGGCTAAAGAACAAGAAACATTACAACTCATTTACTACTGCATTTTTTGTGGATTACAGCGCTTTGGAACCAAAAGAAGAGAGTGATGAAGAAGATCCAGAGAGCTCAGATTCGAGCTGCAACACACATTCAATAAGCAAAATAGGTGATTCATTTTATCTTCAGCTTTTAAAAAGCACTCCAATGCGCTGTTCATATTGCGGAGTTCTGTTTGGAAATAAATTTCTAAAATTGAAGGACCATCTTGAAATTGAATTTTGCCAAAAATTCAAGGTCAGCAAAACTGAGGCATCTCGTATTGATCCAAATGAGTCTACGCGAGTTCTGTTGACTCCAAAGCTAAATTGAGATGTCACATCAATAAATATAACTTAGTACTAACTCTTGGTATCCGGCATATGAAAAAATTCGATCTATAAAATAATCAAGAAACCAAATTTAAAAATTTTTACATATAAAAAATATTGTAATTCAATTATAAAGTGAATAGAATTAATATATTATTTACTATTTTTTCTTCATGACTATGTAGGCTTGGAATATTATCTCCACGTGTATGCCATTGATAGATATGGGTGGTAAACGAATTCCAAAGATAAAAAACGGTTATGATTTCTCATCAGGAACTCATTTCCTAAGTGATGTCTGCAGAAGAGTTAATAATATAAATTACGTTTATCAAACTCTTTTGATGATATCCTACAAAATTCCTTTCAAACTACTGGTCAGAATTAACAAAATCATGAACTCTTGAGCCAACTTCTCGTTTATAAACAATTGAATTAGGAATGGGACATCTGCTTCGAAAATCGCAATATTTACACTTTGTGATATCTGTATTAGGCTTTGGTGCTCGCTCACCATTCCAGAAGCGACACGCTTCTCCGACTTCTTCTTCGATGTCTTGATACGAGTACAGATAATGGTCAACATGAAAACATTCGCCACTATTATTATTATGATATTCAATTGTCGTATTATTTCCAACAAGAGGCCCAATAAGATTGTAGAATTGTGATGAGCGAGCAGCGAAGTACCTTAATGTTAAGGGATACTTCCATTTCTTTATCAAATCTTTTAAAAGACTATAGTCGAACTGGTCGTCGTAGCAGTTAAGTATATTTATGTCATTTTCTTCTAAAAAATTGCTCAAATCATAAGCATCCGCTGAATAATGAAGTCTTGCATAGTCATCAAAGGATTTTAATCCTAGATTGTGGCCATTTGCCAACCGCTTAAAATCATCATATAGCAATTCAAAATTCTTCCTTAAAAGAATCAATAATGTTTTGTAGCTAATTGGAACATCCAATCTACAATTTTTGATGGCAAGATTTTCTGCTAAGCTTTTATATCCCATTATGCTTTCACCATCTTCCCCTGATAGTATGCCTAAAAATTTTCGATAGTAAAACGTTTGCATCTTGGCTGCGCTTATTACAGACTCTTGAGACGGAACTTTACTTATTGATCTCGTCTTAATGTCCGTAATCTGCAATGAAAAATCATCACTATAACGGCAAATAATTTTCCTAACCTCATCAAAAAAAATGCTGAGATTAATGACATATTCATTATTCAACTTTGGAAATTTAGACTTAAAAAAAAATTCTATTTCCTGAAATAAGGAGAAATCATCAGGATTGGAAAGATTAAGTAGCCTTATTTTATCTATGATACCACTTACCAACACATTACCGGGTTTGGAAAGCTTTTCAGAATTCTGAACAAAATCGTGACTTCTCAAGTTAATGAAGCCGTGGACTAGGACTTCTCTTGATTCCGAATTCCTAAACAAAGAAAAGATACGCATCATAACTCTTTCACTTAGTTCCTCTGCATGTCTGCCCTCCAAAATATTGATATCAAAAAGAGGGTCGATCTTTTTACCAGCTCCAAGTTTGATCTTCTCTAACTCAGCTATGGCCACTTGCAATCTGTCAGTGTCAATGGGTCGATGTGCTTCCATTTCTAAACGGTGATGAACAATTAAGCCAAGTTCAATTTGTTTAGTAGGTTGTAGAGGAGGAGAATTGGAGTAAATATTATAGTATTCCTTTAGCTCACACCATCTATTTGTTAATAACTTAGTGACTGATAATCGGGGCTGATTAATGTAAGAAGTATCCGCATTGTAGGTAGAATGATATTCATACGGAGTCAAATTTGATGGTATCACAAGGGTTAGTAGACTCGTCTTAGAAAGACCTAGGTTGTCGTATAGTTGCGATAAATTTTGATTTGAAAAGTTCTTCAGTCCATCACCAGAAGTAGATATTATAAATCTCTTTATCAAGTCTTGCCGTTTCAAAACGTACTCTCCTGCAGATTTTGAGTTAGCTAAATAACGCTTGAAATTGAATTTAATTGTAGTCTTCATATATCAACCATTGTCTCTTTAGTTGGAACAACCACAATTGATGGTAATATCTCGTATCGCGGTTTTCTATCAAATATTTTATTTATTTATCAGAACGCGCCCTTACAAATTCCTTCATATCAAGTAGAGAAGTTCATGATTTACAATTTAAAAGTCATTTATTTTTTATAGTTAGTCCTATAGTGCCTCAGCTACCAATTATTATTAATGAATACCCCTCTTCATTTTCAAAGAATCTCTCTTTTTCTCACTTAGGCTATATTGAGAAGGTAAGTTAATCCTTGGATCTGAAGCATTATCTTCCTGCGTCAAAGTCTCAGTTGAATTTTGTGCAATTTGACCCAGAATTGCACCAGAAAAATAACCATAATCGTCTGAGGGAGTTGTCGCGGACATGAAAGGCGATTCGAGACCAGCATTAGTCGTTTGACCTCCATTCATCATGTTAAACGGCGTGTTAGCACTCTCTGTGTTGATAGTTAAAGGATTGGGGAACAAACTGTTCCTACATTGAAGTCCTTGTCTTTGTTGAAGCAGCTGAAAGTTAATTTCATCTATTTCCGGGGCATTCGCCGTGTGAACAATCTGGATATTTTGAGGTGGTGTAACGCTTGAAAGAGAACTTTTGGTCGAGCTTGGAGGCGTTTGATAGTCCATCATCATAGAATTGAAGCCACTAGATGATATTGTGGGTGTTGTCGAAGAATTATAGTTTGGATAGTTTGGATTTGGATTTGCAGATTTATTAATTAACGCTTGAGGAACAAAATCTTGCATAGATTGCAACAGGTCACTACTATTATTTTGATTCTCAGTTACATAAGGGGGTCTTATGTTATTCAAATTGCCGACATGTAACCAGTTATTTCCAGTATAAGAATTATTTCGAGTGAGTGATTGCTTTCGCAAGCTCATCGAGGAAGATCTTGATCTATTTTGATTCTGAGGATTCTGAGGATTTTGATTGTAATTCGATATGTTAAGTTCAGTCATAGACAAATTCGAAATAGATGATTGTCTAAGATTATTGTTCCCGTTTCCAGACAGCGAAAGTGATATAGTAGTTGACTTCGGTAATTTTCCATTTGAGCTACTACTGAAAGTGCATAAATCTATCAATCTCTTTCTAATTAATTGTAAAAATATGGGCTGAAAATGTCCATTTCTTAAGTAATCATTGCTAATCACACTTTGATAATCATATGGAGGAAACCCATTAGAGGACGTGTTCGATATTAAACTAGTCATGGTTTCATGTGCTACCTTACTCACTAAACCGCTAGGAGGGGTTGTTCCCAGGAAAGGTGTAGTAGTTGGCAATGACAAGATGTAAGAATATATTGACATGACAAGCTGATCAAATGACGGTGTGAAGTTAAGCGTGTAATTTTTAGCCATCTTCAAGGATGCTCCTGGTGGGTCATCTGAGTCGGTTAATATGTCGTCACTTTCATTGTAGTTTGGATGAGAGTAAATAGACCCATTGGTTGAAGAATTTTGTGAAAAATTAAACTGCTGCTGTTGATTAGGCGGATCTATAGGGGTCTTGAGTGTTTGATCCAAAGGAGTGAAAGGACCACTATCAACGTTACTCAAGGACTTATTTAATTTCAATGACAAGTTTAGCTTCTTGTTGATCATCATGAAGGTCCTTTGTACTGGTTATTGCTATAATGTCAATTTCTCAGCTTGATATATGAGAATAGCCTCTGCTTGCGATTCCTAAATCGCGCGTTTCTATTGTCCACGGTTTTCACAGCTGTTAATATTCGAGACTAAACCACTTTCAGAACCAAGATAGAGTATAATTCAGCCTTTATCACAAGTGAGATGTTCTTATTCTTTATTGAATGATTGCGGGTTAGTGATATCTAAAAATGGGAGGAGAGGGTTTAAATTATAAAAAGACGAGTCGCGATTTTTTTACTGACTCCTTTAATTCCCAAAGCGGTTAAAATCAGTTTGCATCAATCTTTCTACAAGCGAGGCGGATGTGAAGCGGATAACCAGGGGAAAAAACTCATTAACTTCAAAAACGCTCAACTCGGATTAGCTGTGTATAAATTTACTATATGAATTCAAAACTTATATGCGCTAATACAGTCTTGATGCTTCTTATCCTAGTATTTCGACTTGAACGAATGCTCAACTAAATAGCCAAGAACATGCGATGCAATATAATGTTACCTTTTCATATGCTTACCTAGAGCAATGGATATCGTACCCTTAGGTTTCTATTTCACCTATTTCATCGTTTTCGATTCCGTCATTTTCATCACTTTCTATGCCATCTACTAATGTAGGATTATATGTTAAATTGTACGGGAGTATACTTGTCAATTGGCTGGATGGGAAGACAGGATTTTCAGCAGATTCATCCACGCCAAGCACAATATGATCGTTCTTGTTGGCTGATATCAAATGTTGTTCTAAGTCTTGACTCTGTTTGTCAGTGATCGGGTGGAAATTTGGATTATTCTGCAATTTGAGGAATTCTTTGAAAAGGCTTGAATTAAAAAATTTCAAATTGTGGCCTAGCTTTAAGTCCTTTTCAATCAAATAATTTAGCCACAAAAGGTTGTAGGATTTATCCACGAGTTCATCATCTTGATCTTCTTCTAAATATGAGAAATCTTGCTCATCATTCAACCTAAGTTTATTGTAGTAATCCTGTTTTTCCTTATGTCTCCTCCTTTTCTTATCCTGCTCGCTAGAATCATCTAGGTCAATCTTTCTCTTTTGCATTAGATTACGCATGACTTCTTTAGGCACTTCACTTAATTTTTTACCTATACGAAAGGAATCGCTATATCGAACCCAGTTGGCAAATGATTTCATCGTTTTTGTATTATAACTTTTCAATAAAGTTGAATTCGTATCTCGTAAGTCATTAAATTTAGGTAGGTCGTAGAAATTTAAGTAAGGCTCAAAGCTATCAGGTTTGATCAAAGAAACATTCAACATTGCTTGTGTTACATCCTGTAATCCTATAGAGCTTGAATTTTTCCTCTGTATGCTAAGCTTGATGGACTGTCTGACTAAGAGATTAAAAAAGTGAATATAAATATCTGTCAATGCATTCAAGACCGAAGGATTGCATTTTTCAAAACCAGAAGCCTTTAGTATTTGCAAAATTGATACCCGCAATAAAGCAAAATGAAAAGAAGTATTCATATTTCAATCTATGTTCAAGGTAAGTTTTATTGAACAAGGCAACATCTGAGTGACAAAAAATATCCAAAAAAATGAACTGCGACATAATTTACGTGCTACGACATTACTACACGTAGGTATAATAACTTGCCGTTTTCCCTATAATACTACCTTCAGAAACCATCAAAGTGCATTGTAATTGTATCTGATTCCTACATGAGAGATAAATACGTTCTAGTCTATCCAGTAGATGACATCAAATGCTATTTAATTCAAGAAAACAAAACATCAGACACATCCAGGAATCATACTTTTACAACTTCCTGAGTATGCAGCATAGAGCACATAAAGCTGACAAGATGAATGATATGCATTATAACGCCTTCGTTTTAAAACGATAAATCAGTCTAGCTCAGCTCTTCAGGATTGCTATATCTAGTATCAAATCATAAACCATGCTGAAGCCTTTCTCCAATCTTTTTAGAAGCAAATGACAAGGCATTGAATAATCCTTTTTCTGATAAATCAATATGTATGTTTTTGTCATTACTGATACCTGAACCAGAAGGAGGATTTGTGACTCTGCTGACGATAACTGCAGGTTCAATCTCAAGTATGATTCCATCATCAATAGCCTCATCAATCGCCAAGCTCACCAAGTCATATTTCTCCAAGACTGTTGTTTTATCCAAAGCATTATCAAGTAATATGTTTAAGCTTTCAAACAAGTTGGTAGTCAACGAGTAAATTAGTGATTCATTTTCATTAAGTTTAGAAACGATAACCAATATGACGTCGTTACTTTGTTTGTAAGTAATTAAGTGATTATCATACAATATTATGTCTTGATTCATTTTATTGATTTTTCCAAATATCGACTTTTCAAAGTTAAGTTGTTGTGATAATGATGCGTATTGCTCACTCTTGTTTGCCTCGTAGTATTTAGCATATAACCTCGCTCCATGGTTATCTAATATCAATGCAGCAGTAACAGTGTATAACGATATGTTCAAAGACATGCTGAAGAAATATGCTTGCTCTTTCAAAGCAAATATGATATTATAGAGAGGTATATATTATACACGGTGGTTAATTTTCTGATGAAATTTCGTTGTAATTACATCCGGTATATAGAAGGAGAATAATATTAACTTTTAATTATCTTTAAATTAGGTCACATGATTAAATATATTTATCAGCACCTACTAGTCTGAAAACAAACTCATGAATTGATTTATGCATAGGGTTGTGTTCATAAAAGGAGTCGGTGAGTCCAGAGGTAGTGAATTCGGAGTTTTGGGCAATTCTTCTCCAGCCGTATACAAAATTAATCACGAGACCAATTATCAAGCCTAAAGATATTATTAAGGGACCGATAATGTTATCCAAGTGTTTGCCTGATCGTTCCATGATAATCTCTCTCCTTCTCAAGAATATAAAATATCCCCAAAGACACGAGAATACCGTGAGTCCGAAATAAATGTAAGCTAATGTCTTCGATAAGCCAATCGAGTGGGATTTCAGAACAGAGGAATAGATGAAAACAGTTAACGAAGAAAGTAAGAGCGTCACATGGAGCCATCTGTTAATAGTTCTTTCATTTGCTAGCCATACTTTAGGTTCTATTCTCAATGGACCCGCATTTTTGATATAAGATGAAGGTTTCGTTACTCCTGCAGGAAGTTCGACTTCTTCATCCTCAGAGTCGACGTCTAACAACTTGGAGAAGGTATCCGGAATTTTCAATAATTTCGAAAAAGGAGCCGGCCTATCATGGTAGTCCTCTGATTCATCTGAAGATTGGTCATCATCCAAATCGGTTACGTTCCGATTCTCCTCAAGATCTAATTGGCTCAAATTTTGCGAGCCTTCAATAGTCGAGGATTTTGAAGGCGAATTCCTTGGACTTGAGTCAAACTGCCGATTAAATACAGAGCCACTGAATGACTTAGAGCGAGGTTGAAAGGTATCGCCTTTCGATAACATTGATTTGAATTTTGAAAGATTTTCTTCATCGTTTTGGATCTTTTCTAGTCTCTTCTTGGAATCGATAAACGCTTGCTGTGGATCAACTTTAATACTAGTTTCCATTTCATTGAACCAGAGAGGAATGTTTTCTAATTTTTCATCTTCTAGAAAGAGAGATGCCACACCTTGAATGAATTTTGAAAAGTTTGGAATTTCTTTTACCAAGTGAGAACTTATCAAGTCATCAATCCAAACATATCTCTTCTTACGATTCGATCTGACTTTGATCTCCATGACAGAGTAAGGAAATTTTGAAAATTCACCTTTTCTTAACAAAGAATAAGGATTCACAATTTTGGAATCAATATCTGTCCGGTGCCACTTAGATGGATCACGAATGGGACGTTCAGTATCGAACGAATCTTCCCTGATGAACATAAGATCAGAATCAATGACTACTCTCACTTTATCGTCACCAGGAATTTGGAAGGCAGTTCGTTTATAAACAGTTCTCATACATGGCTGTAAATTGTTATCCTTGATAAACTGACTCAATTTGTTAACATTATCAGTATAATCTGCAATGACTTCATCATCATCACCTCTTTTTTTCATCTTTTGAGCTATCTTACCAGGATCAAACTTACCTTTAACGAAAGAATCCAAATATTTTTCTTTGACCGTTAATTTTTCGTCAATGTTGAAATTATCAGATGTAGCATCAAAATTTTTCTTTTCAATTGTAATTTTTGGCTTTTCACTAAGCTTTCCAATCCATTTGATCCTCAAAGTTGATGAATTTTGATTTTTTACTAACTTATTGTTGTACAAATCAAAGTTATTATTATCAAAATACAAACAATTAATGGTAGGATCGTTACTTTCCTCATCATCTGCATCATCATCGTAATACGAAATTTGCTTCTTATTATCGTAAATCAATACCGGTAAATGACGTAAGATTGTTGTTTTAACTTCCATTAGATTATCTGGATGAATCCAGAACTTAAAAGATTGATACTCTTGTTGTTGAGTGTCGTCATTGAAAGATGAAAGCTTCGATAAGGACTGATCAATATCGTAGTTTTCACGCAAGAACTGAAAAAGAGCAGAGATCTTGTAAAGCAATGGACTATAGTCCTCAGAATGAAAAGGTAAGCTTTTTAAGCGCACATTCAACAATGGCTTGACCAGAAATTGTGGGTGAATCCTGTCATGCTTCTTGACAATTTTAACAAATCCTGTGTAATTTAACCTTTGAAAATGATCCAACTCTTGTGCCTTTGCCAATGTGTCATCAAGCTTCGAACTAAACTTACCAACATCGAATGAATTTGGACTACTCTCCGTCTCTAATTGAAGCTGGTCTAGCGTTTCATTTAACTCATCAAATTCATTCAGCTGAAAAGTATATACTCTTTCTAATTCTTCGTCTAAAGCACTCACAAAAGCTTGTTCATCTTGGTCCGTCCAATTATTTTTTAGTATGACACCCTCCTTTAATAGCTTCTTCAAACGTCTGTAGTTGATGAAATACTCCCTCCATGGTGCATATATCTCACTCTCTAACTTATTTTCGAAAAGCATCTTACTAGTATGAGACTCTTTCCCACTCAATTCTACGTAATCCAGAGAAATTTAAAGACAGAATGTTTCGAGGTATAATTTATATCCCTTTTGTAGCACTTTTAACGAATAGAAAAAAATATTGATAATCCACGTGGGACATGATCCAACGCTTTTATTGAATAATTGAAAGGGCCAAACTTTCTCATGTAACACACAAACTTTATAATTAAGAACGGCATATGCCTGCTCTTATATGTTAAATTCTAAGTAAGTCTTCATAGATTTAACTGTACTACAATAGAATACAAATACAACAGTTATAGATTTTTCTTTCTCTTTTTGCTTGTTTCAAAGGAGCTAAGACCTGCCATGTACTGTCAAGTCAAGATTTTTAAGAGATCTAGGGTTATATATGATAATAGTGGATATATTTTTGGCGCTGGCTTTTATTAAGTCCGACAAACAACAAGAGAGAGCGCAACAATAGCTTGTAATAATCTATTAGTTGTAAATAATCTTTTTAAAGAAATTAGCTCCTAATTACTAGACTGATGCATAAAATCTTCTCTCCATGTCCAATTCTTAGCAAGCTCTTACAGCAGCATGAGAAGTGTCAAAGAATTGTTTGGTCTAGTAAGAGTGTTTGAGGAGAAAAAGATCTTATAAGAATCAGATCAAATGCTTTAAATAACCCGAAGTTTTACCTTTTCTAACTTATTAATGGCTAACCAAGCCATTCTAATTGATTAAATCTATTGAATATTTTATTCTTGTTAAGTTCGATATTATTCATTTTCTAGTAACCATTTTGATTTAATCTTCGCACATTTAAGTTTTGGTTCAAGTTCTTTTCCAACTAGTAAATTTTATCAAAATGAAAAAATAATGTCCAATGATTGCGCAAATTATGGTCGATCCCCCTCTGGCCTGAATAATAGTAAGGAAGAAGATTACAAGCCATATAATTTCAAAAGGTGTGGTGATTCAGATAAGAAAGTCACCTCAAATTCTCATGCGATTTCTGATCCTGGACAGCATCAACCAATGAACGAAGGATTTCAGAGTGCTCTTTTCAATGCACTTAACCTGTTTTTTGGTAGGTTATTATTACATGTCACGGTAGGGAAAGTGAATGATGACGAACAAGACCAAAGTAATGAACAAAGAGTAAGTAAAAGAGATAATGGTGAAGAAAACCTCGTCTATTACCCTAGCGAGGACATCAGTAACGAAACCATAGAAGACAACGAAGAGGATAATAGTATAATAATAGTTGATGCTCTTCTGGATCAGCTGGACCAGTTAGCGCCATTCGTTAATCCAAAGAAGGAAGAACAAAGCGCAAAAGTAAAGTCCGAAGCACCTCAACAATATGGAACATCATTTGGCATCTCTCAGGACTCTAAGTATTTAAGTTCGATGGGTAATAGAAACTACAAACCAGAGTTGAACCGCTTTGCTGACGACAATTCAAGTAGCACAGTTGATGTCCTCAACTTGATTCCTAATTACAGAGACGAGTACAAGAACACCATCTTGAAACATTATTTGCCAGAAGAGCCAGTATCAAGGCTCAAGTACTCAGTTCTTGACTCGTTACTATCAAATTTTCACATAGATACGATATCGGATCTTTATAAGAAAGAAAAGTCCGCAGTTCAAGACGCTGTATTAAAAGAGAGGGAACATTTAAAAACTCATATTCAGGGCTTGAGTTATGAACAATCATTAGTTGTCGAGAAGTCTTGGAGTAGGGCCTCTAATGAAATCATAGTATCCGATTTTCAAATTGAAATTTGTACAAGAGATTTACGCACTTTGAAAGACGGCCAATGGTTAAATGATAATGTAATTGACTTTTACTTCAACTTGATCACTTCCAACGATCCGAAAGTTTATGGGTGGACAACACATTTCTACACCACCCTAGAATCAAAAGGGTATCAAGGTGTATCTCGATGGGCAAGACGAAGGAAAATAAATCTTGTCGAAAAGGACTTAATATTGATTCCGATAAACATTATGGAAACTCACTGGGCGTTAGCAGTGGTTGATAATGTAGCTAAATCGATGAAGTATTTTGATTCTTTGACAACTAATGGAAACATGAGAGCGTTGAAGATAATCAGTAATTATATGAATCATGAAGCAGAGCGCTTGAATATTTCACAAAATTATGACGACTATACCTTTTCTGAGAACGAAAAAACACCACAGCAAAGAAACGGATCAGACTGCGGAGTATTCACTTGTACGTGTGCTAGGTTCATTGCAAAGCATGAGGCGTTATCCTTTGGTCAAAAAGATATGAAAATTATTAGAAGAAGAATGGCCTACGAAATAATCGAGAAAAAGTTATTAGACTAATATATATTTCTTTATATTAGCACCCAAGGTCATAGCCTGAAACTTAGAAAACTGCTTCCTTTACTTTGGCCACGACTAGCGATATTATTTATCTGATTTTCATAATCAATAATATTTTTGCTGGAGGATTCGATTTTATTGAACACATACGAGCTCCTGGTGTCCAACTTCAAATTCCTAATGCGATGCAACTCATCTTCATATTGCATGATCTTTTTATTTTCTAAAGATATTAAATTATTCAAGTAATTGGTTTCATAAATCTTGTAAATCTTCGGGTCATTAACTAATTCTTTAAATGCGGCTTTAAACAATGGCCTACCAGAACATATCGAATTTAAAATTCCTTTGTCTTTCTGCAAACAAACCAAGTCATGTTTTTCAAGGGTTGATAATGTGGCCTGAGTCTCTTGCACGTCTTTAAAAAGCGATGATTTAGTAAGCTCATCAAATGAAATTGAGTGATTTTCTGAAAGAAGTTTCATAATTACCCAAACTTGCGAAGTGTTCCAAGTTTCATCTGACTTTGCTTTCGAGTTACTCAAAAAGAACGTTGTGATTTGCTCTGCTGCCTGAACGACCATTTCCTTAATAGCGTCTTGAGGTGATTCGCCAGATTTAATCCTTCTAATATAAGCTTGAAGGTCGAGCATTCTACCCCCTAACGGCTCTAAGCATATATCAAGAGAATCCTCTGAATTTATGTCATTGCCCAACTGTTCCAAAAGATACAGCTTTGCATTACTCTGAGAAGCATCATACAAGGCGATCATTTTAAAAACGAGGTTTGGCAACGAGATGTTTAAATATTGAAGACTGCCGACATCATTTGTGATGTAAATAACATGTGCCAAGTTACTCTGGATTAACTGGGAAGTCCAGTCAGCGATCATACCATGAATATTATTGGAATCGCTTTTACTAGAGTATTTATCAATAATGACGATGGGTTTCACCTCTGGAAATTGCTGCAAATAGTCTTCCTCCTTTAGCACTTCACTGTCTAAGGAAAGATCGTCGGAAATGTTCAGGTCTCTTTTCCTTTTCTTCTCTTGCCTAATAATATTGTTTCTGTAACAATTATAATCAGATAAAGCAACCTTTCTTAAAGCCTGGGTGGCCAACAGAAACATATTCTTTAATTGCGTTTCTTTAGACTCACTGAACCCAGATTTTTGACCTGTAAGGCCCTGAACGCCTAAATCAATAAACTGTGAGATTCCATTTACCCAAGTAAAAATAGGAAAATATCCCAATTCAGAGGCGGTACTTTTTAGTAAAGCATTATCGGTTCTTGATTTGGCTAGCTTTTCACAATCAATATAAAGAGTCTTATGCCTGAGTTTAGGGTCCCGTTGGATAGTGTTATCCATGACAAACTCTTGCTTTCCTGTACCTTTAGGACCATAAACAATAATATATGTATTGACATTTTCGTAAATCCATAACTTGAGTTGCTTTGACATTTCTTTTCTTTCGTTCCACATCAAATTAGACTCATCAGCAGTTGACCTATAATTCAGATTTGAAATTTCTTCTGGTTGCGAATAAAGCTTCTCATCAATATAGTCATAGCTATTATTGATCAAGCTATGGACTTTCCTGAATGGCCAAAATATAATACTGATATACATATTATCTTTATAATTTTCAAAGGAGAACTTGTGAGTGATTTTTTGTTCAATAAACCATTCTCTGATGGGGTCGAATATTAAAACTGCCACGGTCGCCAAGATTGCTAAAATGACGGGGATCGAAATCTTTTGATGATTAAAGATGAATTCGTTAATGTAGTTTACTCTTTTTACAGGAATGTATTGCAAGTGTAATACTGTTTTTTCTTGATCCAAAATAATACCAGTGACACAGTTTCTTGCACATATTGCCGATCTAACATTTTTAAAGATAACCGTGGCAAAGCTGGCGGTGCTAGAAGCTGGTATTATATCTAGTATTAACCCATATCTTCTGAAAAGAACGTATAACTCTTCTTCATTTAATGGTTGTCCATCGAACATTACTTTCAATTTCGGACTCGGAAATCTTCTCAAGTCCTCGATCCAAGGGGTACCCTTTACACTATAGCAATATGGAAAACGATTCCATATCATATTGGAAACCTTATTTAAAATTCTCTCATTATACTTCGCTTCATGTTTTCTGACATTTTCTTTAATTTGGGCTGTAAATTCATCTGTGGAGACATTAGGAGGAACAGAAAATTTTGCAAATGCTCCACCGTCTCTTCTCAAAGGGACGAAGTCCAATATCCTCGTGGAAGCGTGCAATGGATTGCTATCTGAATTAGATAATTCAAGAATTTGTTTCTTCAAATTATCATCATTGTAATTTCGTTGTAATGGAAGCATATATTGCAAATACTGTTTCCATCTAGAGAATGACAAAGGATAAACATGGTCGAAATACATCACAACCTCCTTGCCTCTTTTGTAATCTAAAACTCCAGTTGTTGAAGCAGAATCATCATGTTCCCTGGAATCCACTTCTTCTTTGAGAGTTTCAATGTTAGTAGTATATCTCCTGATGTGACTTATATGAGAACACCATGGCGTAACATTAGCTAGCAATATGTTAGAGATGCCTTGAAGCTTACTCTTCCTGATAAAAATTTGGCTCATAGCTCAATAGACCGTTAATCCAGCGAAGGCAAATAAAGATCTTATAATTGCGGTGCGACCTCATTTTATTTGATATTGCCAAAAAAGATAAGATCTACTCAGTCTATAAGAGATCAAAAAAAAAAAAATTTCTAATGGGGCCAGAGGAACTATAGCTAAAATATAGATGTATCAAACTATCGACAACTGATAATTGCATTATCAGTCCCAAACTATTAATATTTCTTTGAATGGGAAAGCAAGTTTGACATAGTTATTCTAGGCCCCGCTTTGAATCCTCATACCACGAAAAAGGTATGAGGATCTTCGAAGGGGCCACTGTATATCTTGCTAATCGAACTTTTCCTTACACTTCTAAGTCAAATATTCCTAGAATTCAATAGCAATATCTTAAAGAGATTGATTGAAGAAATGATGTATTCAGTTTATAAAAACACTATAAATATAGGGTTATTATATGACTATACCAAAATGGTAAAGACTCACAATAATCTCATTCCCCGAATAATTCTTGCGTTTACCTTCGATAAGTAGGAGAATTACTTACAAAGTTTCTATGTCAAAATTAAAGCTTCGTCGTTAAAAAAAAAAATTAATTTCGATCTTCGAAAGCCAGTTGCGGGTAACAACATAGTTTACTATTTATGTAATCTATCAAGATACTAATCAAGCGTTGGAATATAAGAATGCAGTCTGATAAAATCTGATGTTCTCAAAGGTCTCACAGGTAAATCATCACTTGTAGATTTACTTAAAGTGCCCGAAGAATAATCATAGTTTTCTCGTATATATTCTCTTACTGGAAGAATTGCAGCTTCACGGCATAATTCTCGAAGATCTGATCCACTCATACCCTTAGTATTAGATACTAAGACATCTATACTGAAGTCTTCGGAATCTAGTTTCGCTCCTTTTAAAATTTTCGTGAGTATAGACCTACGTTGCGATGCATCGGGCTTTCCCACCGAAAACATCTTCGGCATTCTACGAAGAAAAGCGTCATCGATATCATCCTTTCTATTTGTAGCACCCATGACCATAATCTGACCATTACTTTTCAAGCCATCCCATAAAGTCATAAACTCTGCTTTCAACATTGCACTTACTTCATGGTCATTTGATGACCTATCTCTCAAAAATGAGTCGATTTCATCAATAAATATTATGCATGGTTGCAATTTGTTAGCTAAGGAAAAAATAGCATCCGTTATTTTATTGGACTCTCCATACCATTTGTCCATGACAGTAGACATTCTTATCAGTAAAAAAAAGGCCCCGCTTTCCCTTGCTATCGCTTTAGCTAGCATGGTCTTACCACAGCCCGGTGGTCCATAAAATAGCACCCCCTTAGGTGATCTTATTAAATGCAGATGTGAAGCAAATAAATCTGGTTCCGTAAGAGGTAAAATTACGGCTTCTCTTATCTCATCTATAATGTCCTGTAATCCGCCAATATCCTCAAATTTTATTGAAATATCTTCTGGCATAACTAGGGAATTTAATAGAGATTTCTCGTACGAATTTAAGCTTATTGATTTTAAAGACGGGTCCAGACATTGTATTCTCTTTAAAATTCCCTTACCTGCTTTATCTTTCTCTTTACTGTTGACAGAGCTATCGATGTAGTCTGTGAGTAAAGAGTTCACGATGTAGTACATCGAGAGACCAGCTCCCGCCAAGACGAAAAGATCTCCAAGGAACCTCACATCAAGCTTAATCTTTCCCACATCAATCTTTATTTTATTCAATAGACTATTCATGTTTTTGAAGTGAAATATTGGTGATCTTCTTTAAATCGTTTTTAAATTGTATGTTGAAGGGCAAATTATAACTGATTGAGATGCAGTCCGGTATTGAAAAAGTTCACACTGAGATGAGATGAAACTAAAAAATTCGAAGATACACTTTACTAAACTATGGTTAGAGGTAACGGAAATGAGGGTCAAAAGAGTCATTCAATACGTATACCAGGGTCTATAATAGATAAAGTTAAGGAGAATGGCTCTTACGATGAGAATGATCTGAGGTTTTCGCTACTCAAGACGAAGAGAAAGAGAGACAATATCACTAGAAAAGAGCGTAGGCAACAAGAGCGACACCAAAAAAAGCAAAGGAGGTCAAAAAATGGAGGCTATAATCATCTTAAACCTGTATCTTCTAGTCATAGAAAATACAGTTCTTCGGCAAGTGCTATGAAGAAAATTAATGCAGGCGATGGTGCAACTTTTGGGACTGAGTCCGATGAAATACTGGACAGCTTTGAAGACCTTGAGGCTGAGAATGAACAGTTTAGTAGTCTCTCTGATGAGTTTGAAGAAGATCCTATTGAGCAACTAAGAAAAATTAAAGAAATGAAGCTGATAAAAATTAGAAATGACGCTAACGACAAGAAAACAGTTAAGGGCAACAAACAGGAACATATGAAAGGAGATCGAGTCTCTGTTCAGCCAGAATATCTTGATAAAGACAATGAAGAAATAGAATACTATGCAAAAAAATTAGGGTTGAAAGGGGGAAAGAATGCAAGGCTAACGAAAACGAACGACGATGATTTAATTGGTGGAATCCTTGATGGTCTTGAGCTTGAAATTCCAGAGAACGAACTGAATGATGAACTTTCTGATAGAAATCTCTCTTCCAATGACCTGTTTCAAGATTTCGATTCTGATAATGATCTGCATGATCAAACCGATGATGAAATTGAGCCATCCCGTAAAGAAAATCCGTTTGTGGCTCCTATAGAATCTACTACAACTCTTGAGAGTGGATTAGAATTGAAGCAAAGGTATGTTCCTCCCGCTTTACGTAAAAAGATGGAACTCGAAAAGGATTTTCAAAACGACGATAAATTGAATAAGCAAATAAAGAGTGCCATCAATAAGCTTTCAGAAGCGAATATTGCTTCTATCGTTAATGAAATTAATGGTCTATTCTCGCAATATTCCAGGAGAGCCGTAACGGAATCCTTGGTCAATGAGTTATTGGATAGTGTTATACAAGAAGGAAGGATATTAGACTCATTTTTAACGCTATATGCCACTGTTGTTGTTACTATTAAGAGATTACAAGGTATTGAGTTTGGTGCACACTTTATTCAAGAGTTGATTAAACTTTTTGACGTTTGCAGAATAGAAGAGGGCTCCTCCAAAAAAGCTTCAAATTTGGTTTCCTTTTTATCAGCCACTTATGCCCTAAATTTGGTTTCTTCCAAATTACTATTCGATGTTGTAAAAGATTTGATCGGCAGCTTTAACGAGCTGAATGTTGAAATTTTATTACGGCTAATAAGAACTTCGGGTAATCAGATGAGAATAGATGACCCAAATGCATTGAAGGAGATTATTGCTTTAGTGAACACCGTATCCACTCATTCCATTAGAGAAAATACGAGAATGAGTTTCTTGATTGATACTATTTCGTCTCTCAAGAATAATAAACTCAAAACCACTAATGAGCACACTCTTCATCTTACTACAAGGATGAGAAAATATTTATCTTCATTTAAAGGTCATAATCTAGATGCTCCAATACAGGTTAGCCTAGATGATATTAGAAATGTTGATTCAAGGGGAAAGTGGTGGTTGGTTGGTGCAGCATGGAAAGGACAAGAGGAAACCATAGTACCAGATGTCAATCAGAGTGCAATCAACGATATTTTGGATAGTGCTGAGCCTAACTGGATGAATCTTGCAAGATCACAAAGAATGAACACAGATATAAGAAGAGCGATATTCATCGCAATAATGTCAGCAAGTGATTATGTGGATGGTCTAACGAAGCTAGAGAAGCTATCTTTGAAGCGATCGCAAGCAAGAGAAATTCCTAAGGTTCTTCTCCACTGTACCGGCGTTGAGCCAGCATGGAATCCTTATTACGCATTATTGGCCAGCAAATTGTGTAATTCTCACTCATATCGTAAAACATTCCAGTTCATTTTATGGGACCTTCTAAAAGATCTTGAGAATTCAGATAGTGAATCATATAGTGATTTCATGGGATTAGGTGAAAATGAGGATGAAGAAACAAAACTCAAAAAAATTTTAAATGGTGGAAGGTTTTTCGGCTATATGCTATCTGAAGGATCTTTAAATTTACATGTGTTGAGAGTAGTTAACTTCTTAACAGCATCTGAAGATACGACGCTTTTTTTGGAAGCCGTATTTGTTACATTTATTGATCGGATTGCTAAAAAATCTCTGATTTCTTCTGTAGGATCCGGAATAGTTGATACAAGCAATTACAAAAAGGGCAGTACCTACCACGACAAGATTTTGATTGAGATGTTATTGAAACAGAAGGATCAACATTCTTTATTACGTGGAATAAAATATTTTTGTTCGAGAAGAGTCAGTGAAAGTAACTTGGTGACTAGCAAGTCTCAGAGAAAAAGAGTACATTGGGGAGTTGGATCTATAATAGATATTGTAGACGAATTCTTGAAATATTCGAATCAAGTCTAATTTATGCATTTTAATAAGTAATTAGTTCACTTGAAGCTCTAATACAGCAACACTTTCTACGTGTTTTGTTTGTGGAAAGAAGTCGAATCCAACAACTTTTTTAACTTTGTAGTTTGCGTTGTATTCGTCCTGTAGCTGTGAAATTATTGATAAATCTCTAGCTTGAGTAAAGACATTACAGCTGACGTAGAACACGAGTTTCGGCTTGAAAGACAAAAGCTGTCTAATAAATGGCAAATCAGTTCCCTTTCTTGATGGGTCGATAATGACAATTGAATTTTCACCTTTCACGTTGGCATTATTAAAGAAGGCATTCGAGAAGATGGAATCTGCAGATCCCTCAATAAACTCAGCAGATTCAGGAACGTTTATACCATTTAATTTAGCGTTGTGTTCTGCGTACATTATAGATTTCTTGGATATTTCTATTCCTAATACCTTTCCACCTATTTGTATCAAATCTCTAGATAATGAAATTCCAAAAAATCCAGAGCCACAGTAGGTATCAATGAGATACTTGAAACCTTGACTGCGATCATTTATTTGAGTGCTAATGAAATCTAAGACATATGGCAAGATATGACTATTGTTTTGAAAAAATTCAGATGCAGGAAATTGAAATACAAAATCCCCAATTTTGACAGTTACGACTGATTTTGGATTTGACAAACAAACTTCTTCATAGTGTCCTGTACTTGGATCAACTTTTATACTTTCTCTCATGAGCATTGTATGTCCCCACTTCTGTTTTCTAGTAGGCTGCGAATTTTCGGCCAATGAAATTTCCTGCTCCCGAAAGGTATTCATATGATCATTGATGATATTAGATGCAATAGGACAATACTCAATATCTACTATTCCTTTTGTAGGATTTACATTATTAAAACCCATTGATACATCATGTTTTAAGGTCTTTTTTTGCAAGTTAAAATGTGGAGTTAATTTATTGCGGTATGCAAATTGCATCGGCGAACCAATGACTACTCCGAAACTTTCTGAAGAAGCAATTTCAAGGCTTGGATAGAAGAATTTATATGCTTTTTTGATCACCTCTCTTTTAAATTCTAATTGGTCCTCATATTTCATCATCTGTAGGGCACAACCAGAACATTCATTAAACTTATTACATATTATCAAATCATTTCGACGAGAACTTCTTTTTGATCCTTCATGATCAATAGATATGAGTTCGCTGTCAGAATAATACATGTGATGCATCATTAATCGTACCTTTACATTATCTCCAATCAATGTTTTAGGGACCTTGATAATAGAATACTTTTCATAAGAATCATCATAATCATTCAAATATGGCATTGCATAGCTTGATTTAGGTATTATTCCCAACCCATCACCTTCTACTGTTTGATAAAGAATCTGGAAATTGCATATAACATCCCTGGGACGTTCATGAGAGCGCAAAAAGGTAGAAATTAATGAGTCAGAATTAACCACTTGTTCTATATCTATCTTGGGATTATTGGCACTTGAAATCTGTTTCAAGAATTCTTTCAACTCGAGATAGAGTATGCTTTCTCTGGAAGTTATATCTTTAGTGTCTCTTTTCTTTGGTTTATTAATTCTCTTGACCAAACTTTGAAAACCACTAATTTGGTTCTCAAATGAACCATTCTTTTGATTTGCCCCATCGAACAATAATTTCGTACTAAGTCCCCTCTTATGAGTCAAAGTTCTCCGCAGTTGAAAATATATCCTGCGAATGACATTCGCCTGAAGAGACATAGCTTCAAGACTATTGGAAGTTGCAAAGCGTGATACATCTTCTCTCATCTCGTAGATGTAGAAATTTGACTTACTTATATACACCACTCCCATATATACATATACATATATATATAAACATAATATCGAGCTAGGAATAGGGAAGAGTAGGTGATATCAGCGAGCAGTTATTGGGCTTTTCATACTGACGTCTTCGTCCGAATAATCCCTCAAGTCAAGAGTCACAGTTCTCGAACTATTCTCTCTTTGTTCTCTATAAATACCGACGAGAGCATCCGATTTTTCGAATAAAGAATTTTTTAACGAAATGACAATAAATTGAAAGTTCGCTCCGGCGTTCTTTTTAATGTAATTAGCAATTTTTGCTACATTGGAATTATCCAAAGCTGCATCGACCTCATCCAATACAAAAAAAGGCGATGGCCGAAAAGAATGGATTGCGAATAATAAAGCTAGCGCTGCGACAGTCTTTTCTCCGCCCGACAAAAGATCCATATCTCTAAAGCGCTTCATAGGAGGCATGGCATGATATTTAATCCCAGAGCTATAAGGCGAGTCTTCATCTTCTAAGGTAAGATAAGCGGATCCGCCTAACGGAGTTGAGGTCGCCTTCGTCAACTCTTTATATATAGAATCAATCTTTCCCGAAATGTGATTAAATGCTTCCATAAATAGAGCTATTCTCTTTGACCTTACTCCCTGATACTTGTCAGATACTTTACGTTCTGTTTGTCGAGCCCTGGTGTGATCTCTATCAAACTGCTTTAGTCTTACTTCCGCTTCTTTCAATCTCACTGTGGCCTTTGCATTTGGTGTTAATTTCTCTAGCTGGTCCGCAGTCGTTTGTATCTCTGCTTCCAATTCAGCTTCAGTTCTCAGGCTAAAGCTTTCCTTTAATTTATCGTCCATCATGCCATAGTCGATCTGAATACGATAAACTTCGCTGCCAATTTTATCTGAATGATCTCCGAGAGATACAGAATCCAAGAAACCATCTATCAATGGAATCTCGACATTTTGAATTTTACAAAACTTGAGTAAACTGGCTCTTTCAGCATCTATCTTTAGTAATGCTTCTTCAGAACGAGTCAAAGATTTATTTAACTCCTTCAATTCTTCTGTTGCATCCGACTTTTCTGCTTCCATTGATTTTGTTACCCTTAGTTGCTCAGCAATATTCTCCTCAGACCGCTTGAGCTCCTCCTGCGAAATTTCCAAGCTGGCCCCAAGAGCATCCACCTTTGACAAGAGATTATTTCTATCGTAATCCAACTCTACTAATTGTTCTTCGTAGGATTCCAATAACAGTTCAAGCTTTTCATTTCTGGACGAATCAAGTCTTTCCTTCTCAAATCTCAATTTATTTTCTAACATAGAAATTGCTTTAGAATACTGGGAAAGTTCTTTAGATCTAAACCTTAAGCTTTCTCCATGCATGTCCTCGTAATCTTCAATTCCATTTTGGAACCCATACTTAGCACAAAAATCTTCGTAAATACCTTTCTTGGTGGCTCTAATTTTGGCTTCTAAATTTTTGATATTCATTTCAGTTGCATTCAAAAACTCTTGTTTGTCTCGAATCTTTTTATCGATATCACTTAGCGTGGATCTTTGGAAAGCGATTTCCTTTTCACGGTCACTTATGGTTCTAATAATCTGTGCTTGGGTACTTCTAAGACTTGGCAACTTAGCCTCTAATTCATTTATTTCGTCTGAAAGAAAGCTTATCTCCATTTCCTTCGGCTTTTTCTCATTCAAGTTTGCAATCTTTAGTAGTAAGTCTTCCTTGAGCTCAAGTTGTTTCTTTAACTCGTTTTTATCCCAGGAAAATACTCCGTTAGGTTTCTCATGTTGTTGACCACCAGTCATTAAGCCAGACCTATGGATTATATTACCATCAAAAGTAACTATCTTATTGCTTAATTTTTGATTCGAGTCCCACTTCAAATGCCTTGCGACATCAATATTTTCAGTGACTAGTGAATCTCCAACCACATACTGAATTGCCTGTTCTAAAGACTTATCATCATATTCTAATATGTCTATTGCCGGCTGAGTCAGCTCATGGATAGAGCGTAAATAGTTTAAGTTGAGAGATTCTCCAACAATTGAGTCCAAGGGAATGAATGTTGCAACACCAGATCTTCTTTCTTTCAAGATCTCAATGCATTTGTATGCTACTGAAGTTGTCTCCACTATAATTGCATCGTAATTCTTCCCTAAGACTGTCAGGAGAGCCGTCTCATATTTCAATTTCTTGGGTCGAACTAATTCATAAACAAGTCCCTTTATCGAATTAGCGGGAAATAATTTTCTGAGCATGGATATATTCTCTCTTAGTTTCCGTTGTTTGTTCGACTCTCTTTGCTGAGATGAAAGCTCGTCCAATGAGACCAAGGTATTGCGCAACTGAGTATTTAGTTGCATCTCTTTAAAGTTAATTTCTTCTTTAGCTTTGATTAAATTACTACGTGCCTCAACTCTTTCCAGCTTGAGAGCTAATATATCCATGATCGAAGTTTCAATGTCGCTTTTTTTTAACTTAAGTTCTGTATTAACCTCTGCCTCAAGATCAGATATTCGACTTAAAGTGTTAGAATTTTGATTTCTGTAACTGTTAATCGTAGAAATCATTGATCCCTTCTCATTGACTAGAAGTGCAATCTCTTCTTCGAGATGAGAACCTTCACTTGACATATAGAGATCTCTCAATTCTTCATACTCATTCTGGGCTTCAATAGATAACGGTGATGAATTGTTAGAAGAGAACTTATCTTTAAATTCCTGGAACATAGACTGTGCTACATTTAACTCTTTTTCTATTCCTTTAACAATTTTTTCCTGCTTAGATATTTCCAGCTTGAGCTGCTCGATTTTTCTTTTGGTTGACGAAATCTTAGAAATAATGATTTTTTTATTAGCTTCAAGAGGCACCAAATCTCTTTTCGCTGAATCGACCTCCTTTGCGAGGTTCCCTATCTCCTGTTTCTCTTTTCCAATGGCTAAAATTTTTCTGGAATACTCTGCCATCAACTTACTATGAATCATTTCTTTTTCACTTAGTACATTTTGCATGTTCTTTATTTCAGCTTCTTTGTCGCGTAATTGTTCGATGAGTGATTGGTGTTTTTTTTCGTTATGAAATATCTTGTAGAGATTAAGAGATTTAATAAGTTCTGATCTTCTTGTTAACAATTCCTCGAACTCTTTTTGTTCTACTAGTTGCTCCTTATATTGCTTTGACTCAGAATTTAAGATCCTTTTTCTTGAAAACATAGAGATAGTATACTCATGGGCCTTTTCATATTCTTCTTTCAATGCCTCGTACTCTTGAGCATACTCACAAGAGCCTGAAACAGTTTCAATTAATTTCGTCAAGTCCTTTGGAGATTGCGACGCGATATGTTCAACGTCACCCTGAAACACCAAAAAGTTTCTAGCTTTGATCAAAATATTTTCAGACTTAAGTATCTTTGAATAGTGTAACGACGTAATCGATTTATCATTTATCTTATATTCACTGCCTCCACTATTAGAGATTGTTCTTTTAAGTTCTAAAAGTTCTCCGTTGTCTTTTTCGTATGTCAACATAACATGCGCCTTAACTGGATCTTGAGCTGTTTGACTAGTACCACCTGAAGCCTCGGTGACCTTCCTTCCACGATAGATCAAATCCTTCAAGTTCTGTGACCTTAAATGAGATGATTTTACACCCAAGACGAATGATATCGCGTCCATCATGTTGGATTTACCTGCTCCATTGGGACCAATTATTGAAGTGAAGAAAGACGAGCCAAAGCCAATACTACATTTGCCCTTGTACGACTTAAAATTATAAAGCTCTAATCCAACTAGTCTGCCCATTCTTTTATTTCAAATGTATCGCATACGATAGTGTTGCAAGTGAATTTTAGCATTTTGTTGCGTTGATACTTTTATATTTACAACTAAAACGCGTGTAACATAGTTCCTGTATAATAATATGCTGCGATTTGATGCCTAACTTTCCAATTACAAAATGCTGGCTCATACTCTATATCACGCGTTATAGATTCACTTTTCAGTCATAACCATTGGCGTACATCGTCTTATGTACTTACGATGTTAATGCAAGAGTAATGTGGTTAATGAAAGCATAATAAGTAAAATGTTTCAACCCCCCGTACTCTTTCTTTCTAATGTCACTCTACCTATCACAAATCGCTCTAAGTCCTGCATGTGACTTGCGGATTCTAGCAGACGGCTCCATATTCTGAACTTCCAATTTGAACTTATCATATCACCATTTTCTGTCCATCACAAAACCATGACGGAACGTTCTGAAAAGGAACCTTTGCTTCAAGGAAATACAGGCATATTATATAAGGGAACTAGCAAATTGTCTCAATGCATTACCATAAAGAAGATCTTATCAACATTATTTCCTTGTTTCCCTGCAGCATATACTAAGTCTGAAACTAAAACAGAGCCTCCATCTGATGTTGGAGATATACTTATACATGGTGGAAGTACCTATTTCAACTGTGACTATTATCCATATTTTATAGACAAAATTTTATCAAGCCATGAAAAGTTGCAACTGTTAAGACGATTAATGAAATTACATGGTATAGGTGTTTATATTGTACCTTCAGGAGATGAGCACCAGTCAGAATATACAGCTTCTTCTGACAAGAGACGAGAATATATCACTGGGTTTACTGGTAGTGCTGGTACTGCGATAGTTACCCTTGACGATCCTGAAACTTTAAGTGGGGTTGCAGTTCTAGCAACCGATGGAAGGTATTTTTTACAAGCCGAAAAAGAGTTGGATCATAGGTTTTGGAAGTTATTGAAACAAGGTATTGCAGATGTACCTCATTGGTTAGATTACACTGCTGACATAGTACGCATCAATAAGTTCAGCAAAGTCATAGCTTGTGATCCCAGATTTATCAGTGTAGCAATCGGAGAATACTTTGAAGCAAGACTGTCTAAGAAAGAGAACGGCTTTGACTTTAAACCAAATCTTAAATACAACTTTATTGATGAGATCTGGGGAAAAGATAAACCTAATCGTCTGCGAGAACCAATTTATCACCTCTCGTTGAAGTATTCAGGTGAGCATACAAATGACAAATTGAAAAGAGTAAGGCATTTGATTGAATCAAAGCATAATTGTAACTCAATAGTGGTGTCTTCTTTGGATGATATTGCCTGGTTCCTAAATTTGAGATCTGACAGTGACATACCACAAACACCAGTTTTTTTTAGTTATTTGATAATCACTTCAGAATCGGTGTTATTCTACATTGACCCAGTAAAAATCAAAAATGGGTCTTCTGAGCTTCGCCATTATCTATCCTCTATTTCAGGATTAAAGATTAGGGATTACAATAGCTTTTATGAGGAGCTACCTAAAATTTTATCGAAGATCGGAAAAAACGGTGACATCGTTCTACCCTACAGAGATTTAACAAATTTCGCTCTTTTTTCATCAATCCGTGTGTTTTTTGGTCAAAACAGCTTAATATTTGACTCCATTATTGCGGAATTAAAATTAGGTAAAAATTCGGTAGAGCGTTCTAACGCGAAGCTTGCCCAGCGTAAGGATTCTTTAGCCTATATTTTATTTTTATCGTGGCTTGACCATGAGCTATTACAGAAAGGGTCAATCATATCGGAGTATGATGCTGCAATGAAAATTTATTCCATCAGGTCAAATTTTGCGAGCTTCAAAGGCCTTTCTTACGATACGATATCTTCTTCGGGCCCAAACGCATCAATTATTCACTATGCCCCGACAAAGGAGGAAAATTCAACGATCGACCCATCTTCCATTTACCTAATTGACTCAGGTGCTCAGTATCTCGAAGGTACAACTGATATAACTCGTACTTTGTTGTTCGAAGATAGTGACATAGAAAAGTATCGGCGATATTATACTTTAGTTTTAAAGGGTCATTTGGCAGTAGCGAGGGCAAAAATCCCTAAAAGTTCGAAAGATATTGGATCAATCCTAAATGCATATGCCCGCGAATATTTGTGGAACGAAGGTTTGGACTATAACCACGGGACAGGACATGGTGTTGGAAGTTTTCTCAGTGTACATGAGGGCCCTTTATATATACTGCCTTCTGTAGGAGGTTGTGGTTCTGAGTACTTTAAAATTGGAGCAATATTAACTGTTGAGCCCGGATACTACGTTGATGGGGTTTTTGGCATTCGCATTGAAAGTGAATTAGAAATCATTGAAATAGAGAGCGACCTGAAAACCTTCATCGGCTTCAATTACTTAACTAAAGTTCCGTTCTGCAGGAAATTGATTGACAGGGAATACTTGACACCACTAGAAATTGAGTGGATAAATGAATATCATGACCTGATAAGACATGAGTTCGGTCATACACTACTAAAGATGGGTCAAAATAGAGCTTATAAATGGCTTCAAAATGAAACTAAACCACTATAATGTATTGAATTGTACATATATCTACTGAGTTGAATGCATTTGTGATGAAGCAAAACTTTTCCTCGTTGGAAACTTCTTGTAGGTTGGACGCTGAAACCTAGCCGGCTTTTTTAAGTTACGCGTGGAAGGGCTCGATATATTGTTATCTGGTGCTGGTTTTTTGAGGATATCTATTCCTCCAATCTTATGTGATATAAATGGAGAGAGTCTAGTTTCAGTTGTTTTGCTTGATCTTGTGTTGAATATGGGATTCGCTGCCGAAATTTTAGAATCGGGGGGCTTGTAACTGGGCATTTTAAGTGTCGAAGGAATCGATCTTGGTGAACGCGTAAAAGCAAAATTAGGTTTCAGATCAGGATGCGAACCACTGACTGCTTTTTGAATGTAAGACTGTTCCAGGTCGGATGATTTCAATCTCTTATAATTGTTCGATAGATCATTAATTACCCTTTTGGATCTTGAGTTCATATTTTCCCAGTTATCCAAACGTGTAATATCAGGTGAATCCAGAGAAATGTCCCTGAACGTCGTGGATAGTCTACTTAATATTTCATTCCTGTCTTGTCGCACTTGCAAGGAGCTCTCCTCGAAAGTTTGTGTTTTTGAAGTACTAGTGTAAAATGGATGGTCATTAATTTTGAAACGTGGAGGGACTCCCCTGGACAATCTTGCTATCCTATCTATGTCACCCGCAGAATTGATTTCTTCTAATAAAGACGAAATAATTGTTACTGTAGCTGAGTCAACAAGCTTGAAGTCAGTGTTCTTCAGTTTCGCAAAATGAGAGGCAACCGCAGCAGAAGAGCAAGCTATTGCCAATAAAGTGGCCAGCACGTTCTCCGACTTAAATGTGCCTGTTATGATATTAAATATGTCACTTAGAGGATTTACCAACTTTGGATCTTTTGAAAATGATTCTATCTCTTTATCTTGTATAAACCTTTGGCGTTCTGCATCAGAGCCAGCCTGAAATTTTTCTTCCTCCTCTTTCTTCTCCTTTGCCATTCTTCTCCCTTTCCTTATATTATATTCTTCTTCAACCCACAAATTCTTTTCGGATGAATCATTTTCACCAAATATCAAAGCGGCTCTTTTCAAAACTCGAGATCTAAGGTCGTTGTCTTTGTTCCGTTCGGCGTTGACTACCCTCCATCTCTTTTTTCGTGCTCGATTTATCTGTCGAATTTTCTCTCTATATTCAAGGGAATCCAGTTTGGGTTGACCACTGCCAAGTATTGCACTAAAGCCTCCTCTTAGAGTAAAAAAATTAGATATAGTAGACATTATGGTGTTGCTGATAGAAATAATGTGCTCATTTGCAACGTCTTCATAATTTTCAGTAATATATGATGAGTTTTCATTTTGGTCCTTCTCGCCTAACATATTAAGGACTTTGTCTATTAAAATGAGAGACTGAGGAATATATTGTGATTGAATACGTTGTTGTCGTAAGAACTTTTTCGTATGACACAACGCTGAAACTATAGTTTCTTTTCCTCCTTCATTCTCATAATTGAACATTATTTCTTCAGGTGAAAGGGAAAACCTTTGGGAAGACTGCTTCTTCGTTAAAATATTAGTCATTTTCCTAATAACTTGCAAAACATTCTTTTCTGAACCAGTCTGATCAGAATGAATTTTGTTAGATATAGTTGATAGAACTTTAGAGAGCTCCAGTCCGATTTTAGTTCCATCTGTATTCCACGGATCTGATTTAAGAAGCTCTTCTAATGTTCTGATGGAGGAGTAGTTTTTCCTTGGTGCGCTCATAGATGACCGATGAAGTGCTAGAGTCTCCGCAATTGATAAAGATTCATCATCCGTTTTAGAGAGATCATCTTTCTCCAGATTATGCGTTGAAGCTTTCGAGTCATACTCTTGTTCCAAATCATCAATTGGAGAGTTTTTCTCATTAAAAGAGAGGTCTATATCTTTCGAACGTTGCAAAGAACTCAAGAAAGAAGCAATAGACGAAGGTAGTTGACGAATAAGAGTGGTAGTAGAATTATTTGATGCTTCCTCATCTTCTTCATGCAGTTCATAAGAAGCCTTGCTATCTTCATGTTCGATTTCCATGTTTGTCAACAAACCTTGTGGGTTTTCCATAGCCATGTTGAAGGCGTTCTGCAAAATGTCGTTCATCTGTGATTCTTCAAACTCTGCCTCGTGATTTATAATTCCTGGTGACACAGAAGACCCAGCATGTTCTAAACTTGTCGATGCATAATTATTTTTCTCGGATACATGCTTTGATGAGACAGTAACAGCTTCTTCTGTTCTACAATCTGAATGTTCATCATTTCTCAGATTTGACTCACTTGGATTACTCTTCTCTGTTGAATGGTTGCCAAGTAGCTCTTCCTCTACTTGGTTTGTAATTTCAGCAATCAAAGTCAGCAATATCTCCTTGGAGATCTTGGGACCATCCTGTCTAATTATACTATTTGACTCGGAAATCCTCTCTGCCACTTGTTTTGCAAAATCAGATGGACCAATTCTTCTATTGCTCGATAATTCTTCATTCTTGAAGTCTTTCACCTTTTCTAAGGCAACGCGAATCGTACGGGACTTAGAATCTTCCAAATTATCTTCCAAATAATTTGTCTCATGGGACGTACCTACTATAGCATTAAAGGCATCTCCTATAGCTCTTTCGAGTTCAATGTCCTGTTCTTCAATCAGCTGATGACCTTGTATAATTTTATCCTCTCCTTCAATTTCTAATAAATTTGTTCCAACATTTGGTAAATTACGTTCTTGCTTCCCCTTTTGGTGTTCCAGCTCATTAAGTTGTTCATTTTCCGAGTTATTGGAATGTTGAATTTCGCTTTTCATCTTAGGTTTATCCTTACGAGCAGCCGAGCTCTCCGGAACCTTGTTTTTACTACCGACATCAGAGACATGCACTGAGCTTATTGAGCTTATTTGATTCTCTTTTTTTAAAACATCATTGAAAGCATTCCCGATAACCACATTCAAATCCATCTCTTCATCCAGGCAGGAAGGGGCGTTACCATCATCTCCATCATGCTCCCCTCTCTCTATTTCACTCCTTATAGAGTCCCCAAAAGCGCTTTTTATTGCTGCTTCTAAATCCAAATCAGATTCATTTACTTGCCGTTCATCAGCTTCGTCCAGATTATTTGGTCCGAGATGCGATTCTATTTCTTCAAAATCCTCCAGCTCTGGTTCCTTAAAATTTTCACTCTCATGATGCTGGCCGTTCTTTATAAGTTCACTTTTTACTGAACTGGACTGATAAAAGTCATTCAAAACGTTTCCAATAGTCCGCTCAAGATTCGTATCTTCATGTTCATCCTGCCTGTTTGGCACGTCACAATTAAGAGAGATGTCATCTCGACCATGGTCAGCCAGCAGATAACTTAAGGAGGTTAATGAGTCTGATATCACCTTGTTTAAGTCAACAGCCTCATCTTTATGCTCTTCCCCTTTGCTCTCCATTTGAAAGTCTGACTCCAAAACTTTTCTTTTTCTGTATCAGCAAATATGACTGTTTTACGAATTACTTAGGTTATTTTTCGTAAAATGCATACTGAAGATTAGAAAACCCTCGATCATGTATATAACTTAATAATAAAATTCTAATCTAAATTACTATAATCTTCATCTAATAACGCGAAATTTACAGTTAAACCTAGCTTACCATGTCCTACACCTTCATATCCACCCTGCTTAATGATCCAATTGAAATTGTTTAGTTTTTCATTAGCATAACTTAGGACATTAATATCAAAAGTTCTGTTTCCAAAAGTCGGAATACTCACACAATAATCAGAATTAGCCAACTTCAAAAAATTTGTGTCAAATTGGAACACATAATTAGAGTTTTCATTAAAAACAAAATTTTCACAATTTGAAAGCGACGTGAAGAACCTCTTTCGGGCGATGGATGTTTCCGGAATTTTGAGTATGTTATCGATATTTCTATTCAAGTTCTCAGCAAAGTTAGTAGTGTCGGTGATTTTGGCTCCTTTATCCCGCTTTTCGACCGTTTTGGGTTCATCACTATCCGACTCCAGGAAAACATTGTCAATTGACACGTAGGAGAAGCTATTTAACGCTAAGCCGTAAAGGTAAGGCTTATCATTGTAAACATCACCTTTCACGGTATTGTTAATGAACCAATTGAAAAACTTCAATCCAGTAGCTAGTAAAGACGTTGGTACGTAGTCGCGAATAGGAACCGTAAAATCATTTCCAAATATCAACTCCGAACCTTTTATAGGATACTTAGGTCTAAAATGTACCTTTAGTCTCAAGTTTGGTTGTTCTTCTTCAGGATACACATTTCCAGGGTCATATGAGTCACCATTCAAGTAAGTCTTATCCCCCACGTTTTTCAAACTGTTGTTCAAGTGAGGTTTGGATCCGTCGAAGTTCTTTATACCGACAACGAGACTAAATACACCAATATCCGACTCGATCTCGAGAGGATAGTTAGTGTTGACGGGTACAACTCTAAAATTCTCTTCATAGGAATTCGACGCTTTAATTACTAGTCTCTTGGTAACATTGTCACCCATTATCACCAACAAATATTACTACTGTCCTCTTCTTCTTCAAAGTATAGCCGCTCCTTAATTGCTAAATGTACCGGGTCTTACACGTGATTGTCGCAAATGAACTACACACAGTTACTATAAAAACTTTCCCCACCTATAATGTAAATAGCATTCATGTCTCAGCTAGCTACTGAAATCCGAATAGCAACGATGTTTGATCAGATCTTTATGATCAATATCTAGTACATAAAATAGGATGATGTGACTAGTCTTTAAACTGATCTCGACCATCGAGATCACTAATAATTTACAAATATCGTGGAGCTCATAACCCTTTGTGATCACATCGCAGAGCAAATTACCCGGGATTTGGGCAAGTCGGTCCAACAATCTCCAGTGGTCATATAAATAGTCAGAGAAGCAAAAAGGCTTTTCTTTAGGAGGTAGAATAAAATTTAACAATTGAGTTGAATATTTAAGATAAAATTGAAAAGTCCAAGTTATATTCTTTATAAGTAAAATGACAAACTCATTAGAACAATTGAAAGCTACGGGAACTACAATCGTTACCGACACAGGTGAATTTGAGTCGATTGCTAAGTTTACACCACAGGATGCTACCACGAATCCTTCATTAATCTTGGCTGCTTCAAAAAAAGCCGAATATGCTAAATTGATTGATGTTGCTGTAGATTATGCTAAAGACAAGGGTGGTTCGCCAAAGGAAAAGGCTGCACTTGCTTTGGATCGTTTGTTAGTGGAATTTGGAAAAGAGATCTTGAAGATAGTTCCAGGTCGTGTTTCAACTGAAGTTGATGCAAGGTTATCTTTTGACAAAGAAGGAACAATAAAGAAAGCTATTCATTTAATCGAATTGTATAAGTCCCTTGGTATCCTGAAGGACCGTGTCTTGATTAAAGTTGCTTCAACGTGGGAAGGTATTCAAGCCGCACGTGAATTGGAATCCAAGTATGGTATTCACTGTAATTTGACTTTATTATTCTCTTTCGTACAAGCTGTTGCTTGTGCTGAAGCTAAAGTAACTTTAATTTCTCCATTCGTTGGTAGAATTTTGGATTGGTATAAGAAGAGTACCGGTCAAGAGTACGATTCTGAGTCAGATCCTGGTGTGCAGTCAGTAAGACAGATCTACAACTATTATAAGAAGTTTGGTTATAATACCATTGTTATGGGAGCATCCTTCAGAAACGTTGGTGAAATTAAAGCTTTAGCAGGATGTGATTTCTTAACTGTGGCTCCAAAGTTATTAGACGAATTATATAATTCGAACGAAAAGGTTGCAAAGGTTTTGGAAGCAGAATCTGCTAAGAAGTCTCTGGAAGAAAAGGTCTCATATGTTGATGATGAAGCAACTTTCAGATTTTTGTTGAACGATGATGCTATGGCCACAGAAAAGTTAGCTGAAGGAATTAGAAATTTCGCAAAGGATGCTCAAACTTTATTGACTCAATTAGAAGGAAAGTTCTAAGTATATATCAATGAATAAAAATTTTGTATTTTAATCCTACTTTCAACAAAATAAGTATATATAATTTCTATTATTACTAAGTCGTGTATTTGCAGAGAATTCAGAGTGAAATCCTGGTACCTTCATGTTAACTTTCACATTAATGTTGAAATCAAAGTATGCTGCGGCCACCCGTGGATATCCCAGAATCTCCATCGTCTCCTTTCCCTATTAAAATTGAGTCAAATATCATTTGTGGCTATGGGAGAGGATCTGCTGAGCTAGGAATTCCCACTGCGAATGTCCCTGTGAATGATGATATTAATGTTCTTGACACCGGCATTTATTATGGCTGGTGTCAATTAAAACCTGATACGTATACCCACCTGTCGAAACTGCAACGATCTGATGGAAATGAGATCACCTTTAATTACGGTTCTAGCTTAAAAAAAGAAGAGTTGGATGTTTTTCCAATGGTAATGTCAATTGGATGGAATCCATTTTATAATAATAAGCAGAAAGCGGCGGAGGTTCACATCATTCATAAATTCAATGATAATTTTTATGGTGCTACCATTAAGTACGTTGTTTTAGGCTACATTAGGCCTGAACTTAATTACACGACTAAAGGTAAGTATATTTTATAACTCGATTTGATGTTATCATAATTAAATAGTTGGCTACCGACCGGCTCCCTTTTGTTCTTGACCAGTTCGAGTTAATTACTAACTAATAATAATAGAAGCTTTGATTAAAGACATCAATTTAGATATAGATATAGCTTTGAAGGCACTTTCTAAGAAATCGTATTTGAGTTTCAAGAACTACGTCTGAATTTCGGAATTTGATTATACTTTATAAGTATATAACCATCTTTTTATGATTGGTCTTGCCTCAGGCTCGTATTGCTAGTATAGTTAGAATAGATATCAATTTTATAAGAATATCCCAATATTAGTATATGAATCTATGTGATTAGGAGTTTAATTCTGCATATACTAAGTTCGATGATCTAAGAACGCATTGCTATTATATTGACAAGCATTACCATATATTATCGGAATGGACTTGTGACATGTTGAAAGCAAGATATGGAGTCCGATTTCTTTCTATTGGCCTATGCTTATTATTTCTATATGTGCTTTGGAGAGAGCTCAAAAGTGATTACTCGAATGTGACATGCCCTGTGAAGTCTGGAGAACACCATTGTCAAATATTGAAGGACAGTTGTAATAACAAATATTTTGCAGTTGCTATAAAGTATTATTGCTCGAATTATTACCCTTCCAAGTTCTTGGAAGTTTTCATTGCCTGCAATTTAATCTTGATTTTAATATTATTACTTAGTACGTTGAGCACAATAGTCTCGAATTATATGTATGTTAGCTTGGAGAGCTTTGCAGAAATCTTCAAGATTAATGGACATACCTTGAGCTTTATTTTGATACCGTTGATAAATGCTTTACCAGACCTTATTGATTACCATATTACCATTAAAGCCAAATCGATAGAACTAGTGTTAGGTCAATTGATTGGTTCGAGCCTCATATTGTGTACAGTTATCATAGGTGTAATCTGCATCATCCGCCCTTTCAACATTCTGGACTTTAAACATTTGATGACGGATCTTGTTTGGCTCTTAGCAACCTTAATAATGTTGATATTTATACTATCAGATGAAAAAATAACCGTTATGGAATGTGCCGTTATGATGACAGGCTACCTATTTTATATATTTTATTTATTCTGGTTTGGGAAAGAGAGTGAAAGAGAAATGGCAGATGTTGTCTTAAATTTTGAAGAAGTACTAGATAATATTTCCGATGAAGATCTAGTAGGATATGGTTCGACAGGATCTATCAAATCTGATTCATCTGAAAATATTGTTGAAGAAATCATTATCCTGGATTCAATCAATGTTTTGAAGATTTATTTTGCTATATTGGATAATTTACTATTTTATCTAATTCCCATTTCAAGTTCTCAACATGAAGATAAGGATGTTCTTAATCAAGATATTTTTGTGAAATTGTGGTTCTCTTTCGAAATTCCAATCTTAATTAATATTCAGTTCTTCAATATTTCATGGATCAACATGATACCAATAATTCTCCTATTGACATTGTTAAACCAATTTCTAAATATCTCGAGAAGGTTGGGTACAGTATCTATTAATGTTTTAAGTATGGTTATATGCTTGATATTGATATCGGCTATTTCAGTTCAAATTTTGAAAATCTTAAAAAACTTTGGCCTAATTTTTAAAATATCAGACTACATCTTAGGATTATTAGTGTTTTCGATCAGTAATTCAATTAATGATTTGATAACAAATGTTACGATCGCAATTAAAGTGAGTCCTGTTTATGGTGTGAATTCATGTCTTGGTACACCAATTTTACTAACGCTCGTTGGGATTGGCATGCATGGCTTTTATGTCTCATTGATCGACAACTATTTGATAACTTTCAGTTTAAACAAGAATTTAATCTTAAGTACTATTGCGTTGATTTCGGTGACTTTATTTTTTCTAATATATGTCCCGTTGAACAAATGGAATTTTGACAGCAGGCTAGGAATAATTTTAGTTTCGGCTTATTTTATAATTTCTCTTATGAACTGTCTCACAGACTCAGACTAAGAATTGTCTAAGATGCTCATCAAAAGAATCTTTATTGGACTCATTATGGTTACAAAGCTTTTCCATTGAATGTTTGAAAATGATTGAATCCTTGAACGCAGGCTCGAATTTCTTGAAAAAGTCAATTAATGCACTATGCGCTATAGGATAATTCAAGATTTGCTTGAAAAACAAATCATTTTGAGTATCATTTATAACCTCTGTAAATATCCGTAATAGATAATCATCGTCGTCTCTATTTAATAGTCTTTCAATGCATATTAGCTTATTATAGATAGGCAATGGAACAGACGAGTTAAGTCGTATGTATAAGACGATAACATCTCTAGCTCTCGTATAATTCCCATTATAGATTTCTAAATCCACTAGCTTCAAGATAATCAGATAATGATTGTTCAATCTAACTGCTCTTTTCAAAGTCTCCTTGGCAGCAAGGAATTTTTTTGACATGAGCAAAAAATCAACATATCGCACCCAAAACTTCACATATTTGGCTGTCGCAATGAGACACCTTTCATATATGAGAGTAACGTACTCAATTGGATAGTTGATTTCAACAAAATTTAAATAGTTTTCCCAAGCAGCTAATTCCAGATTCTCGATTCCTTCATCACTGAAGTACTGAATTGAAATACTCTTTTCAAAATTGAACATTTGATAGGCTTTATACTGAGTGGTTATGTAAAGATCAGTGAATACCTTTTTCAACTTTGAGGAGCTGCTTTTCATGTCCTGATTCAGAAAATTGGACAAATCATTTTTAGGGACTAAGAATTGTATGCTTCTCTTTTGCATGGTATTTATATGCAGAAACATCAATTTGAAAAAGTAGTCATAATGGTATAGGGGTATCTCTATAATGATTCGTAACAAGATAAAATACTTCTCCTCAAAAGAATTACCTGCATTCGAATAGTTCTTCAAAAAGGACAAATACAAATCGTAAAACTCATATGAGTAATAGTGGTAGCCTATTTTAGATCTCGCCACTTCAAACAAGGATAGAACATCCATTAAATTATCAGAGATGGTGCTGATCTTGAACTTAAGGTAGCTAATCCACAATTCAATGGAATATTTCAAGAATATTAATGCCCTATTGTAGATATTATCTGCCTCGAGAACGCTGCCCAATTTAAGTTTCCATTCAGCGTATCTAATCCAATAATTCACTAATAAAGGATACTTCTCTAAAATATTTTCTAATGAAACTGACAACAATTGAAGCTCATCATTTGAACTGCATTTATTGAGGCCCTTTTTATTGTTCGCTTCAGCAGCATTAACCAACTTTTCATAGAGTCCTAGGCTTGTTGGATTTTCCAATAGCTTTAGACTGACATCAATCCATTCTATGTTATTCCCCAGGCTGCTGGCATTAAGATTCTCGACAAGTCTGAATGGAGTATTAGCTCGCAAAAACCTATCACCATCTCGAATGCGCGAATCTTTTTTCACTGAATTTCTAAACACCTCTATATCTTCATCAACTTGCGCCTCTGTGTCATTATTACCCATTTCGTAACTTATTGCAAACAAATAACTATTTTGTTGCTAGTACATGAACATCTTAATCACAAGAAAAAGTTCTAAAATATTTCGAAAAATATCGCAAATGTCGCGAAATATATTTAGAGTCGACTTGACGACAAAACAATGACACCCTGGAGTACGAATAGGCATATTCCGAAAGAAAGTATGCATTCGCTGTCTTGCTGCTTCAGATTGGGTCTGTCCAGATCTCTACTTTCACCCCGACGTATTACTCCAATCAGCTGTGGTAATCAATGCCATGTAAAGGATAGGTACAGTAATCAAAACAATTGTTATAAATGCACGTAACTTTAAACTATACCATGCATGCACAAGTAGCTCTTGTTAAATCTTATTATAAGACTTATGTGCATCCAGGGGGTCTATTGGTAGTTGCGCCACAAGACTAGGGGGGTCATCTGCCGCGCAATTATTAGCAACGGAGTCAACAAATCTAGGAAGATAACAAATTTAGACTGCACGCGTCGTAAAGTCGCCTGAATCTAACTATTACGAGACTCTATGCAGTATTGAGCCTTGTGATTGTCGATTTTAGGTCGGGCACGGGGGGGTACCCTTATAACCAAAAGTCGCCTAAAAGGCAATAGATTAAGAGTCCTGATTTATTATTTATTGTAAAGCTGCTATGTCAGCGTATGTGATAGAATGTGAGTGGTGTAGCTGTACGGAGATCGCTGCAGTCTTGGGTCTACAAACTTCATGGAGGAGAAAATAGACTAATCAAAAATTGTTATCGGTAGTGGTCCAAGTCCGGAATGGGTGACGGACGCAGATTTGTAAGCTTAATCCTGACGCATGAAGAGCAAGAAGAGAGAAATCGGGAGCTTATTTTTTTTATTTTGCTACAGCCTCCTCTTTGGTGGGGATAAACCCCCCCTATACAGGTACCAAAGCCTGATACGACGATGCCGCAGAACTTACTTGGATTTAGTGGGGAACAGGCTCGTGCAGGGTTTATGGGTTTATCATAATCCTGTCATCGGTTTACATACTACATACCAGTACTGAAGCAGAAGCCTGCTACACCTCATTGACTAGAATTTGGTAAGCTTGTATCATATGGTGTTAATCTGGTCGCACTCCTTGACTACAAATACAAGGAGTGTAATAAATTTACTTTTCGGGCAGTAATTCACAAAACCATAACTGCACTAGAAGAGCCACGTCTGAAGAGGATGTATTAAAATGTGTTGACATGCAGGGAGAGCGCATTATCTTGGTGTATTGTTCTAGATATCGCAACAGCGTTTGGGAAGGGGACAACGTTTGAGATCCGACATTGTATGACAAAGTCCAGACATAAGCATTAAGGTTCAGGCTTATTGCATATCTGTAACACTAAAAAGTGCCGAATTAGGTGTTGTGGTTGGACGCAGTATTTCCGGGAGGGTAGCAAAAAATGGGGCGTTGAGTATACAGATGAGAGTTTATTATACGTTTCATATTCTTGGTAAATGCAAATGGCAGCCTTTTCTTTTTTTGAATTTTTCCTATAAAATATATTTAAGGTGAGGTGTTCTATCCTAGTGAGAATATTCTAAGCCTATTCAGAATATAGAGCTAACAATTAAATGGTTGAGCAAATGTTCTCGTCCCACTATTTAGTTAGCCCTGACTTGTCATACATCCAAGAGGACTTTCAGCAACAGGCACCTGTTAGAGACTCTATTAATTTGAGTCTTAAATTTGGCAACTCAAAAGGGATCAGTGGCTATTGCAGCTACGCTAGCTCTAGTAGCAACATCAATTCTGGCAATAACATTAGCATGGCAGGTGAGAATAGCAACAACCATATTTGTAATAACAATAGTAACTATAACAATATCAATAGTATTGCCCTGGACGCAAACTTTGGTAGTTGGCCGAATGGGACTACCGGATTATGGAGCCCAACTGGATATACTCATTTCTCCAAGGATCTTGAGCTGGATTCGATTTCCAATCTTGAAACAGAGTTTTCGTCCCCCTTTATGGTATTTGATGCTGACAATTTAAATTCACACTTTAATTCAAATGAACGCTTTATTTCTGAAGTTGATAAATTTAATACAACAGACTACGGATCAGAGAATACTTTTTTTAACTCTCATCTGCTGTCAAGCCCTCGCAAGAGATCGGTTATAAGCTGTGATGATAGTGTTTCAACCTCTTCAACCTTGACGACCCCGGAGGCTGATTCTGGTTCGGCATCCGAAGAACAAATAACAGATTATCATCTAGATATAAAGACGGCTATAAAGTTGGCAACTAATGCTATCAGTAACTCCACAAACTCTGACCGTAGGGGACCTGTTAAAAGATTCGAAAGCGTCTCCGATAATCTAATAAAAAGGTTTTCAAAACAATCACTTACTAAGACGCTTCCTAAAAATGGCTCTCTCATCTGCACTCATTGTAATGAGACTTTTTCGTGCCACTTAGACATGGCCAGCCATTTCGATCAGTTTAAGCTAATCAGATCTCATAAATGTCCTATTAGCTCATGCCCTTTCAACATTATTGGTTTTGAGAAAAAGGCATTTTTAAGACATCACTTAATCTCGCAGCACTTCAAAAAAGGCTATCTTATTCCGGAATTTAATCAGTATGGCAAAGAAATTCACTCCATGATCTATAAATGCGATGAAAACGCTTGTGGTAAATGTTTTTATCGTAAAGATTCGTTGTCTCGTCATATAAAGCTTGTTCACAACAATAAGTCTTCAAAGTTCAATAGAAAAATTGAAAGAGAAAAGCAGTTTCTGAGAATAAAGAAGACAATCGAGTTATAGATACATATTATTATGTCTCTTTATTTCGCTTTGTAACCAAGACATTCATTTTTTGGTGCCAATCCAAAGGACGATAGATTGCAAGTTGAAAATAAATACTTCTTTCAGAATAGGGATGCGTTCTATAAATAGTTCTTAATAATATTTTATCTAGTAATGCGGTGCGCCACATCTCGGAGATTTCAATTCGCAACCACTATTTGTGTCAACTAAGGGGCGCAAAGAATTCAGTCCTGATTCGCAACCAATGTTGATATTTCTGAAGTGTAATTGCCCACAATGGAAAAGATCAACGTCAAGAATATAGTTACCCAGTCTCTCTTGTTGGGAATAGCATTACTGCTACCAAACTCTGCCAAAATTTGTACAACGGCAGGTCGTCACTTCACTGGATATGTGGTGGAGAACCGTATCAATCTCAAAGGACTAAGTAACGAATATCATCTTCTGTATTGCAATGACAACAAACTAATTTTTGACAAGAGTTTGAATGACACTATACCTTGGACAGCCCAAATCAGTTTTGGATGTGATGAAGTAGTTCTTGCAAGGAGAAAGTCATTCTCGCTTCGCGAACTCCCATTGTATTTCCCGCATACTTTAGTTGGGGGGATTTTCGTGAATCTAGGCAATGATACAAAGACATCTGTTCCGTTGATCGCAGAAAGCGTGTCAAGACATTGGATTGAGATCAACCACAGAAAAGAGGTAATTTACCATTTTCCTATTTTGTCTACTCCCAAAATAGACAGCAAGAGGTATCATATGACAATGGATTGGGATCGCTTCATTCTGACTACCGAAAGCTACAATTTTAACTATGACCCAAGAAATACTCTAAGAAAAAACTATGATTTGATTTTAAATATCTTGAATTCATTAGTTGGCCAAGAAGGCAATAAAGAGACAGTTTTTATTGCTCTCTCATACCTCTCTGATGCTCTATCCTCAGTCCAGTTTATGGGGTTGATGAAAAAGTTAGACAATCTATTAAAGTACTAAACTCTCATGACTGTTCTGTAGCGAGCAAATTATGCAGAGATATGAGACGCCCTGAGCGAAAGGACTTCGTCCTTATTATATCTCGATACACATACATATTTGATAGCGTGGCTAAGATCCTAAGAGGCACTACCCTGCCTCATTAGTTATTCAAGTAAAAATGCTCTTCCTTCATGTTCTATAAATCTATGTCATCAAAATCTGAACTCTCTGATAAGTCAAAGTCTCTTGCAATTAATATACTTGACTCTGATACAGAAGTGTTGTAGTTTCGTGAGGGTGTAAGACACTTCGGCAGAAGATTTTCAAGCTTATCGAGGCCAAGAGGCCCCAGATATGGCTCTTCAATTTCGTGGGTTTTGTTCCCTTTATTCTGACAATTGTTTAATTGCTTGGCGACGAAAGATCTTGACATGTATCCTGTTTTATCCGCTATAATACTTAGCTGATTGGTCTCTTTTCGAAGGTATTTGAAGTATGATGAGGATTTTGCTGGAATTCTTATGTGCTTACGACACAAGAATTCTCCCATCAGAGGTTTATTTGATGAGCTGTCATATTGAGACGTCTTAAATCTATTCTTTACGATCGTAGAATCGGCTTTCCTAGAAGGTTGATGATCCAGAAGTACGCGACGCTTAGTTCCCGGATTTGACATCTTCACTATACGGCTTTTAATAGCTAAACTCTTCAGTTCAATTCTATTAAGCGTGTCTGATGAATCAATTCGTTGTCTTTTGCAAGTGACCTTGCGCGTTCTAACATAGTTTGATATGTCCCTCTGAAATACACCCAAACTGTCAACAATTTGGATAACGAAACGGTTGTTTGCCAACTCGAATTGGTTTTCAACTTGAAGGTTTTTGAGTAGAATGCTTTCAGTATTCGCCTTTTCAAAAAAATCAGTCGTAATTAGTGTTCCCTGTTCATTATAAATTTCAAGCTTATTATTTAACTCGTAGTATTTCAACTTTCCATCGCACCACCTTTTGTCTTTTTGAGTTACTCTGCTTGAATAAAGTATCTGGTACTCATAGACTGTGGATACTAAAGAACAATCTGACATGTCGGTCATCTAGTCCTCTGATTATATGAATAAAATTATGATTAACAGGACAAGTTCAATCTAACAAGCGCGCATTGGCAGCAAATACAAGATTAGATGGTTGGGTAGTATTAGTTAAAAATAACTTACATAATCTTTGCTCTATTTACAAATATTGAAATTACTGGCTTTTAAGGATCATAAAATGGCAAACCTAATCCACTTAATAAGCTTTTGGCTTGCGAATCAGTTCTAGCGGTTGTCTTAAACGTGATGTGGAAGCCGAATAAATTTGGAAATAATTCCTGAAAATTTTCAATTTCTGGAAAGTATTTGACATCTTCTGGGTCAAGACCGAAGGTAATATTACCATTTCCATCTCCCGAAGTATTTTTTATTCCTCTAAACGTTCTAATTCTTGGTAAGACTAACTCTGTCAAAGTAGTTAAAAATTGAGTCATATCGCGCCCTTTTAACTCTGCTTTACAACCACACGGTTTACCAACTCTGCATTTCCATGGTAAGATATTCGACTTATTGTAAATTTGCTTGGCTTTGACATTAGTAATCTGTGATATCTGTAATCGGGTAGAAATATTCAACCAACTTTCCTCTAACGAATCAGAATTATAGGCGTTAATAGATATACCAGTGAGCTCTGGGATATTTTCATTAGTAACCGGATGGATATCTTTCGAAGCACGGCTTGCTCCTTTTGGGCGCTTGAGATTTCTATACAATTTGTACGGAGAATCAGTTCCCCAGGATCTTTTTTTGTTTCCACTTATTGTTTCAGCATCATGCTCATAATTTAGCAAAAGTAAGTCTGATCTCAATGTATTTTCATAGTATTCAACGACTCTGTCTTGACTTATCTCGGTTGGGCGGTAACCAACAGACAATATGTCATTTTTTGGAAGAAGTAAGCTTTGATACTTGGGCATTAAAGCCGCCTTACGGATTTTAACTAAATGGTGCAACGGCTCCACCGAAGAATATCCAGGCTTCTTATGAGCTATGCTAGTTGAAAACTGACGACCAAATACTTTATTCATCTCACGGCTATTGTTGGAATCATGGGAGCACTTCGATAAAAAAATTTCAATTTTGCTCTATCGGTCTCGTGATCGATTTTACGCAAATTTGTGTTGTTATACTTCAAAATATAGGAATGGCCTAAAAGATTAATAGTCACCTTTGTTCGCTCAAATGAGATTTGGAATCCCTTCCAGCTTCCAGCTCGAAGTTGAGACAAAGGCCCCAACAGTTCCGAGGCTGGTTCTGAAAGGAATTGACAGGATAGACGATATCAAAGTCATTCTACAGGAACTATGCAATGAATGGGATAATGATGAGCCAGTACAGTTTCCACAATTGAAAAGCTTTTATGACTCAATAGAAAAGTTCAACAGCAAGATGTATGAACAAAACCGTCATAGAGTTATGGAATACAATTCTTTTTTAAATTCACTCATTCTGGAAAAAAAATTATTCACTGATGCAGCAGTAAACGCTGTTACTGAAAGCTTTGGGAACAGGTTGAGTCTTCAGTCGCAACAAGTTACGAAATTGGTAAATAAAGAAGAAGAGAGAATTAAAATTGAAAAAGAAAAGAAGAAACGAGAAGAGGAAGAACTCGCTAGAAGAAAGGAAAATGAAAAAAAGCTAGCAGAAGAAAAGGAGAAGAAGCTAGAAGCTGCTAGAAAATTGAAAGAAGAGGAAGAGAAAATTAGAATTGCTAAAGAAGAGGAGGAAAAGAGAAAGATAAAAGAAGAAGAAAGAAGAAAAAAGAACGAAGAAGAAAAGAAACACAAACTCAAATCCTCCTCTGGTCAAATTGAAAATGAATTTCTCAAGTATAAGAAAGACATATCTGATATCAAGCAAAACGTTGTGCTCAAAATAAATGAGAATAAAGATTTAAAGAGGCAGGTGAATCAACTTAAGAGGAAACTAAACCCTAAATTTGGACAGCTTTCAAATTCAACTCTGCAGCTTCAAAAGATTAATATTGAAATAATTGATTTGATACGATCAATGGAATCTACCGATGAGCTAGCACTCAAGTGGATTCTCAACTTTATTGCTAAAGCAATTATTGACCAAGCAGAGATGGAAGTAATTGTTCAAACTACCGCTGCTATACCATTGGCCCGACTTGCATGTAGTTTATTGAATACATTCAGCGACTTTGACTATTTCTTAATAGCTCGTTTTGTCAAAAAATGCCCATTTATTATTGGATACACATGCTCCATTGATTCTGAGGAAGGAAGAATACGAATGGGCTGGAAGCGAAAAGAAGAAAAATGGGAAGACGATATAAAATATGACGAGCGTCTTGCTGGTATTTGTACTGTGTGGTGTACGATGACTCGTATAGAAGACTTTCCGCAGAAAATAAACTATTCTTTTGAGTCGTCATGGAGATTTTTAGCCAGGTTGTTAAATACCAATGCAGTGTTGCTCACTAATACCCACTTTTCGGTGGCTGGTAGCTGGTGGGAAACGTGTGCAACATATTTTTTAAGGAAATATGGGCAGCAGGCAACCAAGCTCTTGAACGTATTGTCTATTGAGTGGCCAGCAACGACTGTCGAAAGGAACTTTCCAGCTGCAATGCGCCTCTTGATATTAGGAGAAGAATGGAAAGATAAAAATAGGATAGAAACAATAAAGGAAATGGAATCGTAAGCTATCGGCACAAACATATATTTACTAGATAAATATGAAAGACGGGGTCTTTTCTCACATATAAACTTTATTATTCTATGTAAGAATCGCTCTCATTGTTTCCAGATTCGAAGTCACTTTCTTCCCCGTAGTTCAACTTTTTAGTCACCCTCGAACTTTTTCTGGAGGGCTTTTCGATCGGTTTTGAAGCAGTTGCATCCTTCGGCCGCGAACTTTTTCGATACTTAAGATTTGATCTCTGCGACTTTACTTTAGGCTTCTTCTGTTTATCATATGTCTCCTCAGCTACGGCCCTCCTTTTAGTATTGACTCCAAAAAATCTTTTACGAATTATTCCCTTCAACTCAATTTGGGTCTTATCAGGAATGTACACCTTCGTTATAATATTTTGAAGTTCTCTAGCATTGGAAATTGGCGTATATATGTCAGATGGTAATTTGAGCTTTCCTGGCCAAGTTTGAAGTGGCCATCCTCTTTGGTCACTATATTCTTTAACAGCCAACTGAGTTAGTTCAGATACTCTGTAAAGGTTCGTTGCCGCTTCAGTTCCTTCACTATTATCATAAATTTCTGCTGAAACTGTTGCATCTCTGTGTTGCTTAATACGACTAGCAAAATAATACAACAATGAGATATTCTCCACTTTTCCTATCAAAGTCAAAAAATACGCTACGAATTGTAAGGCAAAAGTGTAAGCTCTAGTTAGCTTCTGTTCTGTATCTACTTCAGTGCCCTCGCCTTGTCCTTCAATCAAAGCAAGAAACTGTTCATGATGAGCAATGATATGAATTAATCTGACCAATGACTTTTCAAATTTTATCGAAGACTTAGCCTCCGATCTATTATAAAGAGATTTAATCCAAATCGTTGAATTTGTCTTTAATTCTTCTGATTGTTCGATAGCGGTAAAAAACACTATCGGTAAAAATCTTTCTGAAATTGTTTCGTTCACTAGGTTCTTTTGCAACTTTGATAGGAAATTAGATCTGACACGATAATTCGAATCCGCTACCAAAAAAGTTAATCTTCTGATCGTCGTTGGATAAATCATCTCATTGAACGTTGGTCTTTTGGACAATTTAAGCAAACTTAATCCGGCAGCCAACCTGATTCGCAGCTTATATACCTCAGGAGTGGGCCATGTTGGGGACTTCTTATTTATGATTTCTCCCCTGTTTCCAATGATAGAAACAAATAATTTCAATACAGGCTGTGCCTGCTCTACCAACGACTCGTCACCGCCAACATTCTTATCTCCGTCATCATCATAAGACTTGAGTTTGTTGACTAAAATTCTTATAGCAAGTAGTTTCTCGTACAATGTGGCATGAGATACAAAATTGTCGTCTAATTCATCATCAGTTATCCAATCTCCAACACTTTTAATAGCTATTGAATTAAGCGGTCTATTCTTCAAGAATATTTCCTTTATCAAATGAGAAGTAATATCGCTAGACTTGTCTTGAACTGACAATGGATCTACTAAGTATAGCTCAGCCATTGCCGCTAGTTCAGTTGGGAAGTTTTTATGCTGCAAATCCAAAGGATAAATGGAATCGATAATCGATGAGCAATAAAGCTCCCTCTTATCACTCAACCCTAAGATTTTTATTGAATATCGCGCCTCTATGGGAGTCCCATAAATTGCAAGATATTTTAATTTTTCAGTGAATTTAATATCTTTCGAAAATAAGTCGGGGTATCGTTTTATGAAATGGTATATTGTTTTCAAATTAAGCGATTTCGAATCTGAAGATGTATCCTTGTCAGTATCGCTTATAATAAGATCTGTCAAAGCACTCATATGAAATTTAAGGATATCTGGCACAGTGGCTGAAATGTGTTCTAGCAATTCGTTGGCAGTTGAATGCAATTTATGATCTGGATCCTTTGCATATGTGATCAACTCAATAACATTTGATTTATTATATAACAAAAAAGATGCTCTAAACATAAGCATCTTAAAAGTTGCCACCATATCGGTGCTTGATATATTTGAGCGCTCACCATCAAGCTTGAAATTTTTGGTATCGCTGAGTTTGGTAAGCAATTCTCTCAACGAATTTTTGACAGTGTTATAATCAGACTCAGGGGAAATACAGACTCTTATTAAATATAGAAACCTGGGCTTTCTCAACTTGAAGAACCGCTCTAAGCATATATATGCAATGTGATCATCTGGTAATGCAGCACATAGCCATTTTATAATTTTGTCCATCTTTAAAAGTAGCAGAACATTATCATTAACATTATCTTTTTCATTAGTCCTGGCAGCCACATTGAAGTTCTCCTTATCTACCAAAACATCACCCGTGTCATTATATTTCTCAGAAGTATCAATATAAGTCTTTATGACTTTAGCTAACTTTTCTTGCCTCTTGTTTATAGCCACAAAAGATTGCTTACCTTTATCATCCAAAGTAAAGTAAAGTCGAGTCAATCGCTCAACTCTAGCTATAGAATTACTTTCAGATATAGGCAAAAGTTTTTCAAAAAGGCAAGAATCTACCGCAGCAGTGATGCTTCTATCATTTATGTAGATTAAAGATAAAATCTGATTGGGAATTCCATGTGATATGAGATTCTCAAGCTCGGCACTATCCTCTTCTTTTGAGAGGCCAAAATTAATAATCTTGTTTGATGCTTTAGCTCTCATATACATGTCAAATATATTACCAAAAATTCTGATACTGTAGTTTCTGATATCAGCATTTTTCTCTCTTGTTAAATGAGACAACGTACTCATGATACTTCTGCTGCATATTTTATAGGTGAACAATTCAAACGAAATTTTTTCGACACATCGACAAGCAGCAAGTCTAACTTTTTCGTCTGAATCTAGAAGGCATTTGTTCAAACAAGCAGATAAAGAGCTGCTGATTTCCGATGTTGAAGAGCTTGGACATGCTATGACTGCTGGAACCTGCTCCACCCATTTAACTCGAACATAAGAAGATATATCGGTAGTTTTTTTAAGCCAATTAGCCCAAATCTGCTTATGGCTAATGAAAAAATTGACCTTCGTTGTCACTATCCCAGGAATAGAATTTGTACCAATTATATGTCCTATTGTTTCAGTTGCCAATCCACGAATGAGATCATCTTCTGCGTTTAGTTCATCGTCTATCAAAGCCATAATTGAGCTCAATAATTCGGGAACGTATTTCCAGATCTTAATTGATAACCTATGTATTTTAAGCAAGCTTTCAAAGGCTTTAGAGTTTTTGAAGTTGTGGTTTGATGCTGTCTTACCAGTAAGCTCGCTGTGCTCTGTACTTTCGTATAACATTTCAGAGAACATTTGAGCTATCTGACGAGACATTCTATCCAAATTAAGCTCACAGACTTGAACAGAAAATGCTAATGCAGGGTTCGTGATTTTTCCTTTTGAATTTATTGTCGTAGATTCCACGTCATTTGTCAAAAATTTCTCGATCACAAGCTTCACAACTTTCGTTGGAATAACTTCTGCCTCTGCAATAACTTCGGAAAGGATATCAGCAGCTAAAGGTTCCAATTTTCTGGAAAAATCCTTCGAGGATAAGTGATATAACGTTTCGAATAACAGTTCAATTAGATGCTCCGCATCTGGCAAATCAGTAATAAGTATTATTGACCTCACTTCTGCCAATCTCTTTAAAATGTAGCATTGTTGTTGAAAGTATGGTGTCTCTGGATCGCCAAGCTTCCTAAATTGTCGGAAAAACGCCTTAAATATAAGTGATAAATCGGTTGCATTATATGGAGCATTGGGCGCATTTATTCTTAAAATATCAGATATACAACAGCATACGAACGCCTGAACGCCCATGTTACTATTTCCTAGTAACTTTCCATTCACCAAGTCACCCAGGATTTTAGTAAATTCACTCAAGTTAGCTGAATCAGCATCAACTGCCGAAAGTTCATCGCTAAGTGTTTGTAATCTTACTAATAATTCTTTTGTTGATATCGGCTCCTTAATTGTCGCCACTATGCTCTTTTTAAATTTGAAACTCTTCTCATTTTTTGAGTTCGAACGTGTCATATCTTCTAATAATCAAGGTCTTAGACGGTTTCGACTAGTCTTTAGCAGTGTAGTCAAAAAACTTGTTTCTCAAAAAATGAGAACGCGTCTCCTGGGTTGCATATACTTTATTATTTAATTTGGTGCGAAAAACATAATTGATATCGCAACCTGAGGGGACATATTGAATCGTTCATTGACCCACATACATACATCCTTATACACCTAAATAGTTATTAGGAACAAATCCAACTCTCATTGAGTGCTCTCCAGCCAGAATCTTACCAATGGACCAGTTGCTTTGCTCTTCGACAGTCAGAAGTTCAACAGATTGAAAATTGAAGAGAATTTCAATCTTATCGCCCTTTTTGAAGCTTAGATCCCCAGCCTCCATACCAGAAAAATCATATAGTGCTCTTCGTGTCTCATTTTCTCGTTTCTCGGATATCTTTAAAAGCTGATCGAAAAAAATGTTGAATTCCTTAAGTTTGTAGGCAATAGAAGATGTTTTGTTGAAGACTTCCAGTTCTTTTACCCTTGTCAATAGCAGATCGGAGTTCACCGTAATCGGGCTGGTTTTTATATTATTTTTGGCAGAATTGTAAATTTTGCGCAAGCTCAGATCAGTCGTTTCGGCGTATGTCCTTGGCACAGGTATATCACTCGAAATGGAAGAAGCCGACAGAGAAGATGCGCTAGAGGTCGAGTTAACTTCGTCGTTTTGATCGAATTCCTCGTCACTTGATAAGTCAATTTCAGACAAGCTACTGCTGGAGGATATTACTGGATCACGCACTGGTGCCGAATACATCGCTGCTACCATTGCATGCCTGGTCATTCCTGCTGATACTTTCAGTCTCAGGGGTAAAGGAGGAGCAGCCAGAATATGAGTGTCTTTTGAAACAATAACGTCATTTATATCAACCTTGTTATGATAACTGTAAGTTTCAGATCTATTCTGATTTGGACTATAATATTTGACAAAGCTATCTAAGGGATCAGCTTCAAGATAGTCTACGAACACTCCATTGACATGATCCTTGGCCTTAAATGTTCTGCTTTTCTTTGGTATTTTATCCGCTACATTTCCCCAGAGTTGCTCTCCCTTCGACTTTTTATTGTCTCCATTAATCTCCGTATCCACTAAATTAGGCTTTTTGTCGTGTATAATAGCAATATCAGATTCCGCTTGGGTCTTGGTAGGAGTAATAGCCTCTTCCCATTGTCGAACTATGGTTTCATATGTGGGTAAATTTCCCCCAAAATCGCTGGCTATCCCATGATATGTGGCGTATTCAGCAATTGTACTATAAACCTTATTATAAATATACCATTGTTTGCTCAAAATGAGTCTAGTAATGCTATCAACAAACTCATCCAAAAACGATATAACATGAGGTAAAATTGTTTTCATTTTCTCGTCAATAGCCGAAAAGTCCTTTGTTGCATCTGAGAGCTTATCCTCGATTGCAAATAGTTTCGCCCTGTCTTTTTCGTCGAGTAATGCCTTCTTTTTAGCAATATGCTCCGCCTGCTTTTGATACTTTTCTTGTCTTTTCCGCTTTTTTTTTCGTGTCTTCATTACTTTCAAAACCTGCTTCAAATGTTTATTCATATCCAGAATCTTAATATTGATGGAATCAGAGAATGCTGCTAATTCCTCTAAAACTGACCATTCTAAATTTCTCATTAGTTGCACATAACCAAAGATTTCGATATTAACACTTTCAATTAAGAACTCTTTTTCTTTCGGATGAATAACTGGTAATTCCTGCTCGGCCTGAAACTTGTCAAACTGTTGATAGTACTCATCGATTCCTTTAAAGTGTAGAGAATCATGTCCTATCGAATTTCCAAAGAGTTTGGCTACTTTAACGTTTGATTCAAAAAAATGGGGCCAATATTTGCTAGACAATGATGCCAACAGCTTTCCTATATATTCCAATGCTTTCATTAAATGTTTGATGTCATGGTGATACTGTGATATTAGGTCTTCATCAGGACCATAATCGTGTCGATGAGCAATCGAGTCCTTAACATTGCTGCCTAAATTACTCAATGTGCCACCCAAGTGGCTCACATTGCCTTTTATCTTGTCTATAACCATCTATGCCAATGATTGATAATGGCTATGTGGCCATCTACTTTATTGATTTGCCCAGGAAGTACATCACGAAGGTACTCTCGGATAGTAAAAATGACACAAAGTTGATTTTGTCATTTTATGCATTAACAACTGCAAAATTAGGTTCTAAAAAAGATTCAGTGTGAAGCTACGCTCTTCTTCGTAACGTTAATGGCAGTGGAACTAGTTTAGCTGATGTTCAATTAGATACTATACGCGTATTTCTAACTAGTACTGTTATAAAACTAGTCATCTTGAGGCGGAAGTCTATCCAAACTGAGTTTATTGTCAATAGTTTCGTCGCGTGTTGCAAAGTTCCGAGAATAAGTTGCGTAATATCAAGAAATAGACCTTCGAATTAAGTCATAGTACGTTTCATATTACTTTGTCGTGCAATGAAGATCACTCAGAGCGGCTGTTGTGTGTCGAACCTCTTTTGATTGCGAAGAAAGATCACGTTCCCAATAACTGTCTCTCAGAATAACACGTCCTTTATGTTCTCTTAGTTACACCTGCCTATGGCATGCTAAGGGTGCTGCATAGTCAATTTTTGATCCGTACTAAGCAATAAAGAGTCGGAGGAAGCTCTGCAGTGTGAAATTCTTGTGGAATCGCTGACGTGCTAGTTGCTGAATGATTTTCGTTGCTGCATGACTTTCGCATACAGTAGCTGCGGCTCAGCTCGCATCTGTTGGTTTTGGAGGACTGCAAGACAGCAATTATTAACCGGGGGTCGTCGTACCAGAAAATACTATAAATAAAGCTCAGTCATCCTAACTACTCAGAGATTTGGCGTTAAGTTACTGTTAAGATTAAAATGCCAGAACCGCATAAAATATTTTATAAAGGAAAAGAGAACGATTTTATCGTCTTCGTCGAGGATTCAGATTTACTTCAAAAGTATTTGAAAGGTGACACTACGATCCCATTGATTGATGTGGTATCAATTTATAAAGTATTTACCAACAGACAGGGAGGATCTGAAGGTGTTTTAGATGAACTGTCGAAATCTGAATTGACAAATGAATTTGGATCAGCAGATGTTGATGCTATTATTAAAAAGATTTTGAAAGAAGGAAGTGATAAGCACTCAGTTTCAATCAACCGTGGTCATAATTCGACCAATGACTCGATGGGTGGTGGTTCTACTGGTAATTAGAAAAAGTTTACAAAATGTTATGTATATAAAGTTTAATCCAATATCTCACTGATGATTATTTCGCAACACTTTCTCTTACTTGTGCTTCAGCGGGGTGGAAAAAGCCAAAAAGAGCACTTTTTACTCTGTTCGACCTAGAACGATGTATTTTAAAATGTTCCTCATGGGACTCGATTTTGTCGGCGTCCTCGATATTAATTCTCCTTAAGTCTGGTAAAGTGATAGATTTTTGCAATAATTTTCTCTCATTGAAAGTACTTGTGGGTTTTAATTTTTCGTGGGTGGCCTTAATCACAATATCTGAACCGTTATTAAAGATTCGATCACTATTGTTGAGTACTTCATTGAAACTATTCGAATATCTCAAAGACTTGAGAGTTCCCATTCTGATTGTAGTCCAACTTGCACTTTTTCTAAGGGATGGCTTTCTGTGAGGTGCTTTTCCAATCTCATGGAAGATTAAGGGAACTTCCTTGCTCCAAACTTCAAGTAATTCAAATTCTGCGAAAATTCTTTCATTTTTCTTTAGTATTACCAAAATTTCTGAATTATTTGCTTGCGACCGATAAGGTAAATTGGTACAAGTGGAGGAGTTTTTATGGTTTAAATCCTTCAACCTTTGATTATAGAAATTCACCAGGACATAAATAGCAATATGATGCCTATAATAGCAAGAGATTCTTACCTCTTGAGAAATTGATGAGTGAGCATCATATGGCGACATAAAACTTGGATAAGTAATTAGTTGTTGTGAATCATTCTTTGAGAAGTCCAACTCATAGGGACCATTAACGAAATTAATGAGAACATTTAACGAATCATACCATATATCTTGCTCTGCTCTCGTTATAGCTAGTAATAGTATTTCATAATGGCACATTTTATGTTCAAATATAATTTTGAACAAGTAGGGAAAGCTTGATTGTAAACCGTCCATTATTTCCTCGCTATTTTTCAAAATTTTGCAACTTGCTAAAGGAATTATAAACTTGACAATAAACTTCTTAAATTTTTTTTCATTCATATCACATAAAACAAAATGGCTCTTAAACAAGAAGCAGCCAAATGTTGTTGATTTCTGATGCTTGCTTTCCACCCAAATTCCAACTAGGGAACCGATAAGAAGCGGCTTACCAAAAAATTGCAGGCAAAGTCCGAATTGGTATTGAATGTCATCAAAAATAAGCATTTCGTTTATTTTAACACTAATATCACTTTCCTTTGATTTTTGAGATTTGTCGTTTATTGTGGAAAGTTTGGCTTTAAGGCTACTCAAACAGCTATTTAATTCTTCATGCTTGCTTTTGGCTGCGTGCTTTAACATTGCCTCTACTATCAACCTATACTTCCCTATTCTAGATATGGGCCTTTGAGCTAATGATATGAAAGACAAATCCATACGAATAGTACTAGTTTGCGTTGCATCCAAATAATGCTCCCAAGCTTTTATCCAATGGTTATTCAAATTTAACATATTTTGATTAAGATTATTGCCTTTCACGAAATTGAGGACATCTTCATATATATTACAGTATTCCTCATATAAGTAAGTATTCACTCCTGTGCTAGCTACAAGCTGTGCTAATTCCACTGTGACATCGTCGATAATTTTACCACCCGCTAACTTGCTTCTCATATCTCGTAACAATTTAGAATGAATTGCAACCAATTGAGTGATGTAAAGCTCAAAGAACTTGAAAGGTTGAGCAACTTCGGACTCATAAGTTATATGAAGTGGCTCAATATAAAAATTAAGTAGCATTGTCATCGATGCAACATAAGTTTGCTCACTATCAACCAATTCTTCTAATGTCTTTCGCTCTTTGAATCTCCTTAACAGCAATGATTTATCTGTGGGAGAAAATGAAATTATAGGCATAGGAGATCTGAAAATTGGACTTGTAGATGACGGTGGATTATCAATTTGTGTTACACCAGATATTGGGCTCAATGGTCCCGAAGAATCTGTTTTGGTCAAGCAATTATTTTTAGCTTCACGCTCTTCGTCATTTTCATAATCATTATTATCTTGAGTGAATTTTAAGTGGCTCTTCTCGTTGTAAGATGTCAGGCTTTCGGCGCTCATTTTTACTTGCAGCAAGTCTTTTCTATCATTCATTTCAGCATCAACTGAATATGTACCTCTAAAAGACTAAATTAAAGCTCCTAGTTCCAAAAGAGTATTTGTTTAATCTATAATTTTTGACAAACAGTCACTTACAAAGGTATAGAAGCCAACTTATCTTGTCTCTTTTTACCTTTTGAGATGTCAATATGTTTTTGCAGTTTAATGACCGTCTTTATAAGTTCGGTTTCACTCAAAATCAACCAAATTGATAAATTTCAATCAGCAATATATCTATTGCAGAAAATAGTTTTTAGATTTACGCTTACACTGTTCTATTGGTACTTTTTCTGTAGTTTTAAATTTGACCTCTTTTGCATCCACAAAACAAAATTATTGATAAAACCAACCATATATCAATATGCAGTGACAGCATTATATTTCAAAGCGATGGTTTTTCTTTAAATATAATTATACTTTTATATAATTATGAGTTCGAGGGCATTGAAAAGACTAGAAAACCAAAAGGTAGAAGAGAATAAAGAATCAGATCTGGGCTCAGGTGATTGGGAAAAACAAGGCTTCATTCATGAGCCTAAGCTATCTTTTAACGCTTTCTCTATTTTAAATGATGACGGCGAAGATGAACAGTCAGGAAGTGAGAGAGAGGAAGTCGAAACAAAGAACTTATTCAATACATCCAAGGAATCTGATAGCTTCAAGAAATCAAATAGATCTAAAGGAAAGAACAAGGGTAAGCATAGAAAACCAAAAAATACGAAGAAAAAAGGTGATAGCGATAGCGACGAGGAATTTCTCAAAAATTTGATTGAAGCAAGAGAGAAGGATGACAATAAGTCAAAGAATGTAACTAATATCAATGCCTCCTCAAATGACATGTATAATTTTGAAGAGGAGCTTGATCTGATTATTGAGCCTCAGCAGCATTATGATTCAAATTTCAAGTACTTTACCTCAAATAGAGCTAAACAGAGCCTTCCCCTATTGTCAGTTAAATCCTTAAAAGACTTTGATCCGGACTCCGAGCTAAAAAATTTGTTTGGTAACTTGTCAGCTGAAACAATTGAAGATGCTAACAGAACCACGTCATTGTCCATTTCGCCTAATGTCCTACTGCAATATAAAAAATTGGCTAAATTAACTAGAGGATGGGGTGGAAGAGACCATAAAAGTGTTCCAGGAACAAGTAGAAAACTTCTTTTAACTAAAATTAAAGATGACTGGTTACCCACATCCCAAAGACCAATGACGATGGAGGAAATAAAGTTTGATGAACTAGTAAAGTATTTTCTGTACAAGGAGGACACCTTTGAAATTAGCGAGATAGAGTCTAAGATAGAAAAGGAACTTCATTTAGGGGTGAAATATTTCAAGTTCAAAAGAAATGATACTATTCAAGCTAAAGTGGCAAATTCAAAATTTTATGCATCCGTCGTGATGACTCCCGATCCTGAATCGCTAATGACGTTGCTTCAGCAATATCCTTATCATGCAGAGACGCTCCTTCAAGTTGCTATGGTTTTGTTGAGAAATGGGAGTGACAAAGTAGCTAGCCATGCGCTAACAGAAAAATGTTTATTTGTTTTCGACTGGTCATTTCATAAGAATTTCCATGAGCTTTTGGCTGAGGGAAAAAGTGGCCTCATTAGATTGCCTTACGAAGTATTTTTGAATAGACAATTCTATTTGTGTTTATTCAGGTACATCACTATTTTAGGCGAGCGTTCTACTTATTTCACAGCATTTTCATTTTGCAGGTTTCTCTTAGCGCTCTCTCCCGCGGAAGATCCATTAGGAGTTCGATATTTCATTGATTTTTATGCCATTTTGGGAGAACAATATGAGTTTTTAATCAAATTTGTGGATTCGCCCCTAATCACAACTTATGATAAATGGTTCACTCCTGGGTTGGCATTTTCTCGATCATTGGCTTTTCTTTATTTAAATGAGAGGGAAAAAGCTTCAGGCGCTTTGAAGACAGCATTCATGAAGTATCCTATTTTGGCTCTCAAGTTATTTGAGTCAATTGGATCATCCCGGGATATTCATATTACAGAAAAAGATATTCCTGTAACCGACGAGTCGATACTTGCCTCCGAAACATACATGGTACGTGCCGGAATGCTATGGAAAGATCCCCAGCATAAGCAGTTTTTGCACGATGAGTTGAAGAAATTATTCGACAACCCTGATTTAATGCCCACAAAGAAAGGTATCGCGTCGTCTTTGGCATCGTTTTTCGGAGCTCAAAGGCAAGGTCCCCAAAGTGAAGAGATACCATATAATTTGATCAGGTTTGCAATTTTGTCAGGTGAAAGCAAAATCATGGCCAAACTTCCAAAGAAAGTTTGGTCTTTCGAAAACTTGTATGAATATGATGTTTTACCTCCAAAAGATGCTGGACGTAGTTATGATGAATTTAATGGTTTGGGAACTAATGAAAACAGCGTTACAGATTCTTTACTTGATCATATAGATCAAGGTGTGATCGGATCAATTCTTGAACGAAGAACTGAAGAGGATGATTTTGCGGAAATAATACGCCAGTTGCAACTTCAAGATGCCGAAGACCCAGGAGTGCATCAAGGTTAAGATAGACAAATTATATAGTCGCGACGTAAATAAAAAATGAACAAACATAATAGAATTGTTGACAGTTCCTAAGATGATATCAATTGACTTGAGGTTACATGAATGGCAATGGCAGTATCAGATATCAAGTACTTTCTTTGTATTTGTAATTGTGCCATTATTGTGTTATTTATATGCTAAATACCTTACGTCTCGCCCCAATCGTTATAATAAAATAGAGGAGCCTATCAAAATAGCAATCCCCATTCCTGACGAAGCAAAACCTCATTGGAAAGGCAAAAGGTTATATCCCCCTAATTTGAGTATCAAGGTTCCGAATGAACCCACTAAAATTCAAAGTTATTGCCCTGCTACTGGCCAATACTTAGGTACGTTCAATGCGACCAGCAGAGAAGAGATGAGCAGACAAGTTGAAAGAGCAAAAGAGGCTCAAGCATCCTGGCGAAAATCAGACTTCACACTTAGAAGGAAACTTCTTAAAACGCTTGGTCGTTACTTAATAGACCACCAAGACGATATAGCTAGAGTTGCATGTAGAGATAGTGGAAAGACTAGAATTGATGCGCTGATGGGGGAAATCATGGTGACATTAGAAAAAATCAATTGGATAATTGCTCATGGAGAAAAAATTCTAAGACCATCTAAGCGACCAGGACCCTCTCATCTATTGGTGGGATTGTTAAAAAATGGGGAAGTAAGGTACGAACCAATAGGAGTCGTCGCCGCATTGGTGTCTTGGAATTATCCTTTTCACAATCTTGTGGGGCCAGTTGTAGCTGCGATATTCACAGGAAATGCCATAATTGTTAAGTGCTCAGAACAAGTCTTGTGGTCGTCTAAATGGTTTGTGGAACTACTAAGGACAATTTTGAAGCTGCTCAATATTAATCAGAACTTAATTCAATTAACTTGCTGTTATCCAGAGGACGCTGATTTTTTTACCTCAAACCCTGGAATTTCACATATAACTTTCATTGGATCTAAACAAGTTGCTCACAGGGTCGTTCTGAGTGCAGCAAAGGAGTTGACACCTTGTGTGGTCGAACTTGGGGGAAAAGATACAGTCATTGTCTTGAATGACGTAAAAAATCTTGAGCGTCTCTCTTCCATAATTATGAGAGGAACTTTTCAAAGCGCTGGTCAAAACTGCATAGGAATTGAAAGAGTAATTTGTTTGCCCAAAGTGTATGATGAATTGTTACGTATATTAGTAGATCGTGTCAAGATACTTCGATTAGGCTCTGATATCGATCAGTTAGATGAAATTGACGTGGGTGCAATGATTTCGGGTAACAGGTTTAATCATCTAGAAGAATTAATTTCTGATGCTGTTGAAAAGGGGGCACGCTTACTTTGTGGTGGTAGTCCATTTCAACATCCGAATTATCCTCAAGGTCATTATTTTGAGCCTACAGTAGTTGCAGATGTGACACCTGCAATGAGAATATTCCAAGAAGAAGTTTTTGGACCTGTGCTCACAATGATTAAAGCCAAGGATGCAGCCCATGCCGTCAAATTAGCCAATCTGACTGAGTATGGATTGGGCAGCTCTATTTTCGGGAAAGATTTTGAACAGATCAATGAACTTGCGAATCAGCTCGAATGCGGAAACGTTGCCATTAATGATTTTGCAACTTTCTATGTCGCTCAATTACCATTTGGAGGTACCAAGAAATCAGGTTACGGAAAGTTTGGAGGGGAAGAAGGTTTGACAAGTCTCTGTGTTGCGAAGTCAGTAGTCATGGATAAACCCTTATTCAGAATGTTGGGAGTAGCAACAAGTATACCTCCTCAATTAGATTATCCGATCAAGAACGATAAAGTTGCATGGAGCTTCTTAAAGAGCCTAAATAAAGCTGGGTATGACGATCGAATTTGGGAAGTTTTAAAAGCATTCAAGAAATTGGTGACGAAGGAGACACAAAAGTAGATTATAGTTCCCGTACATTGGATACAAAAAGTAACTAGATATATTTTAGCATTAACATATACTCTCTATTAAAGCAAAAGTTTTTTTTGAAACATCAATTAAAGGATCTTATTCTAAGATCAATTGGCGTTTACATGTAACTCTGGAGCAGGTTTGATCGTACCGTCTACGACGAGCTTGACAACAGAAGTCTTCTTTTCCTCGTATTTACTTTTGATAGCTGCCAACTCCTTTTGAACTTCAGCGTCTGCTTCCTTGTCGATCTTTTCATTCAACCCAGCATGCTCCTTTTCATATGACTGAAGTTCAGCCTCTTTCAGCTTCTTGTATTCAGCAATCTCACTTTGAGCATCAGCCTTTGCCGACTTTAAACGACTGGTTCTGTATCTTCTTGCCTCATTTACTATTTCGGCCGCATCCTTCTCTGTCTTCAATAATGATTGAATACCTGAAGACATCTTCCTTGATAAACTTTGAAGTTATTCTATATAGCAGGAGATAAAAGAAAATATGTTCCACCCTGATAATAAATTAATCTAAACGAATCTTTGATGTCGACACGACTATCCCTTTTGTGCCCTATTCTAATGTTTCTCATAATCATTTATTATACAATTAATATACAAATCTATTTACTCCCAAAAGTAGCCTTCGGCAATAAACCGGAGCATGTATTCATCAACATGACCTACACCTTCTTCGAAATCTTCATCTTCTACGTTGCTACCATTGATAGAAATTTGTGAAGTGGTTTCTGGAGGCGCGGGTGTTTGAAAAGGGGAACCTTCTGCAGTAGCCGAATTACTTTCCTCATTGAAGTCTTCATTATCCAAGACCGATTCTTTCAAAGCTTCGCTTGCAGCTGCTCGGTCATCTTCATCTTCAGCCTGTGCCAAAGCATTTTCGACGTTTCCTTCAGGAGCAATGGGTCGATCGCTAACATCCTCCACAATGTTTGAATCATTAACTAAATCTTTCAAAGAAAGTTTTCCAAAATAGTCAGTCGTAAATTCACCTTCTTGGATAACGACATTATCTAATTGCCTCTTCTGGTTTGCTTTTTTAAGTATATTTGACTCAATAGTGTACTCAGACACAAAACGATATATGTGCACTTCTCTACTTTGCCCAATCCTATGACATCTGTCTTGACACTGCTTATCCATCGCAGGATTCCAATCAGAATCGTAAAATATCACAGTATCTGCACCAGTCAAATTGATTCCTAAACCTCCTGACCTGGTTGATAAAATAAAGACTGGAATCTTATTGTCTCTATTAAATCTTTCAGTCAACATTTGACGATCATCAATTTTGGTAGCACCATCTAATCTCATATATCTATAACCATGAATATTCAAAAATTGTTCCAAGACATCCAACACCTTCGTCATTTGAGTGAAAATTAAAGCTCTATGACCTTTAGAAGTCAAATCTTGCAACAAGGTAGCTAATCTTTGAAGCTTCCCGCAATCGTATTGAAGTAGAGACTTATCTGGAAACGCAATTGACAATTTCACTTGTGATTTATGAAAAGGGTTGTCAATATTGTTTTTTAAAGTCTCCTGCCGAATTTTGTATTGTGTCGAAATTGGAATAAGTTGATCTTTCATATCCAAAGCAACCACTGCAGGTGTAATAACAGAAAACTTTTCAATCGTATCAGTCATTCGTTCCACTAATTTGAATAAGGTAGGAACAATATCAATATATGCACTCGTGGTTCGACACTTCGAGGCCGTAGCTGACTTAAGCTTGTTCAATAATGAGCATCCGAAAATTGGAGATCTACCACACCTTAAATTGTTTAAATATATGAAATGTTCTAATTTGTCTTTGGTCTCTTCCTGCTTTTGTCTCTTAACCATTTTATAGTAATCTAGGCATAGAGGGCCCGATTTGCTATCGTCCATACTTGACTCAATGAGAGAGTTTAATTTGCTCTTCTGTTCTTCCAAGCTTGATGAAGATTTCAATCTATTGATTGATTCCGCAACAAAGTAGTTCATGCTGTCCAAATTTACAATATCTAAATTTAAAACATCCATGTTAACTTCATTCTTAAATGAGTTATCATTAATATACCTTCTGACAATAGCATCTGTCGAGTTAAATGAGCTGACAACCGACTTCGGCATTGCATAAGAAGTCACAATAGGCCGCACTTCAAAGAGATCTGGGTGATTGCATACCTTCCTTAATTGCATGAGACAGTTGATAATTGACAAGAAGTTTCCTGAAGAGAGGGTTTCTTTGGTCTTAGCCCGAGACATGAAATCATCATATAGAAACCGTTGCCTTTTAGACAACCGACAATATACAATGTGCTCGAACTTTCCTGGCATTTGCTTTTCTACATCTTTTTTTAATCTTCGTAGTAAGAAAGGTCTCAAAACTTGATGTAGACGAGAAACTGTATTCCTAGTTTCTTGGTCCATCGTAGTGGTAGAACCTTTACCATCCATAAGTTCATTACTTCCAGTTTGTTCAAGAATTTTGTCCACAGGACGTCCAAACCACGTTTGAAAGTCATCCAAATTCGCAAACGCATCGGGCATCGCTTGGTTTGCTTTCGATGAAGGCATTAAGAAATACAATAAGGACCAAAGTTCAATTAAATTGTTCTGTAAAGGCGTCCCCGTTAGTAATAGACGATTTTCGGTATTAAAATTCAAGAGAGCTCTCCACCGATTAGATCTAAAGTTTTTAATATTATGGGCCTCATCTAGAATCATGTACTTCCATCTTCTTCTTTTAAAGGACAGTTGATCATGCACTACTAGTTGATAGGAGGTGATACAAACATGAAATGCATCAGGCTTGTTCCAGCCTTTCCTTTTCTGTGCCCTTTGTTGAGGAGACCCATAATATGTGAGGACCTTGAACCCAGGTGCAAACTTTTTAAATTCCATTTCCCAATTCAACATTACAGAAGTGGGAACTATGATTAAATGAGGACCCCAAATATGATGCTCACAAGCTAAATAAGCCAACAATGAGATAGTCTGTAAAGTTTTACCTAATCCCATTTCATCAGCTAATATACCATTCGTACCATTGTTATATAAACTCGCTAACCAGTTTAGTCCTTGTTTTTGGTATGGTCTTAAGGTACCTCTTAGCAAAAACGGAATTGGAACATCTTGAACTTTAGAGCCATTGATCTCTTCCTCCTTTACCACTTGATCATTTTTCGTTTTGTCGAAAGGTGAAGTTACAGACTTCGGAGTTTTCGGTTCATCGTCTTCATCCGTTGTCGAAAAGATTTCATCATCAGAATCTGCCTCTGCACTAGAACTATAGCTCTGAGAAGCGTCATTATCCAGGTGTTCTGAATTAAACAAAGAAGCCAATTTTGACACTTTGCCGTTGTTTAAAGAATCCCTTTTCTCAACCTTAACTTCGTTATTTTCAGAGACCTCGCTATCATGCAGATCCAGACTCTCACTTAAGCCCATCAGATTATCCCTCTTATCCATCTTCAATTCGTTGATTCTTTCCTTCTCTTTTTCTGTATAATCCGTGTTCGTTGACAATTCATCACTTGGCTCCACCACATCATATAATGCTTTTAATCCTATGTTCAAAGGCTCATGGTTGCCTTCATTCTCGTTTTGATCAATCTTTGATCGAGAATCTTGGATTGAATTATCTAACAAATGAGCATACTTTTTATTCAATTCCTCCACTGTTAGCTCCAGATCCTTATTTGCGATGTTCTCTTCTGACTCCGATGTACTTGATGTAAAATTACCATCAGAATTGAGATCGCTATCATCACTCAACAGTTCAGCATGGTCAGAATCCAAACCTTCAGAACCCCGGTTTGTTAACTGAGCCTCTAACAACTGTGTCGAATGTTCTATCATTTGGCTCAAATGCTCTCTTCCTCGTATTTGCTTGAGTTCATCCTCTTTCTGTAACTGTAAATATCGATACACCTTAGTAGCCTGTATCCATCTCTTCTTGACCGCCAGAGCAGCAAGTCGACTCATTCGCTTCAAGTTCTGCGCCCTTTCTCTCTCTATTCTTTCCTTTTCTCCTTTCTTCTTTTTAAAATACAGCTCAATCATTTGTGCTATTTTCTTGGTCTTCATGTAATGCAGTCGTCTCATTTGTTGGCGTATTTTTGAAACTGTAATAGCCTGGTTCAAAAAATGATCATAATAAGTGACATTATTTTGTCCACCAGGATGCTTAGGATTTACTGATCCATTTGACCTAAATGGATCGGAGACTTGCTTGAGATTAGATGAATGGGGCAAAACTACTTTGCGCCTTTCTACTTTGTCTCCATTTAGTTCGAGGCTCTTTTCAATCATAACCTTTTGATATATCTTGCGCACCAAATCCTCTTGTTGCTTCATTATGGAATTGTATTCTTCGAGAGTATAGTTATAATCGGTGGCAGCCCCATCGTCAATGATAGCACACTTGTATCTATACCTTAAAAAATTTTCCAATTTGCCGTTGATATCAGGTATAGTGCGTATTCCAGAAGTTGAGTTTATTATTTCTAACTTATCCGGTCCAGCTTCTGGCATTGAATGTTCATTTCCATTACTTAATCCGCCATCATTAGGTATTCCAGGGATCCAGTTAGGAATATGTGAAGGGTGAGTCACCTTTGAAGCTGGAATTGAATATTTAATAGCTTTTAATTTATAGTTCGTGTTAGCACATTCTTTGAGTTGTAATTTGTCTGCCCCTCCTTCAAAATGCTTCTCTCGCCTCGAGATGAATTTTGCTGATCTATCAGGCTTCATAGTATGGTTGCTATGCAATGTTTCCATTTTTTCCTCGTCTTTCTTCTCATCCTTCAAGAGATGTAGCTCTTGACTTTTGCTAATTTCAAGAACACGCTCTCTGAAAGGAAAAGTCTCAGCCACTTTTTGGTCTCTTTCTGCAAGAACCTTCTTCTGGAGCCTTAAAGGCAAATCCTTGAGCTTTTGAGCATAGTCATCTTCCTGATACCATGTTAGATTATATTTCTGATTTTTGAGAAAAGCTTCGAACAATTCAGACAGAGATGGTTCAGCTGCCAAAGAGAAATCTAACGGGTTCCAGTATACAACTGACTTATACTCTCTAAGCTGAAATAACTCATTCACATTTAGGTTAAAATCAGTTATTAACTTTGCCAACCTTTTGTCTCTTTGATCTTCCATCTTATCAATCTTTATTTTCTTTCTGCTTTTAACGTCAGAATCATCAAAATTTCGGCCGTTTCTTTTGGGAATGATTTTTGGAAAATCATTTCTCGTTTCTTCAGAGGACGTAACACCCACCTTGGCTGCCCTGTGTCTTCCCATTGTATACCAGAACTCTTCAAACGTGAAGATAGTCGAGATTAGCTCTTTTATTGTTCTTTTATTTTGCCTCGATATTCAGTAGCATATCTTTTATAAGTCATGTAAGAGTATATGCAGGTCTACAACTGATTTGTGAGAGACATGTATTCAATCATGTCTGCTTTACTGAATCTTAAATATAATGTTCAATTCGAAATTGTATGTTATGTAAATGGTAAGCTATATAAAAACGCACTAAGACTAGAAGTATTTTCTGAGTATTAGGGTTATCAGTTTTCCTTCAGTAATCTAATAACTTTCATTTATAGCTTAAGTTTCAATAGCTAAATTAATATATGGCATACGAGTTCTGTCACTTTTATGCATTTATGAAGTCAGAATTTGCTTTAACGTAAGCATCGCGTTTTTCGGCAACAGATTCATCATAGGCCAAGAAACCAAGTTCTTCTTCTGCCGTAATATCTGGTTTAACACGGTAGAAGAAATCGTCTTTATCATCTCCCGAGCCAAGTTCCTTTGCTAAACCCCCTGAAGGATATGACCTTGGCATAGCTGGCTTAGCAGGATTCAATTCAAAATACCATATGGCTGCTCCAAAGCCAAATATAAGTGAGAAGAAGATACCGTTGTGTTTCAAAGCTGTTTTGTCAGAGACAAAATTAAAATAATCAGGGGACCACATATCATAATAGTCATCATCAATATTTACAGGTTCACCAATATTTCTTCTGTTTTGTTGATCATCATACTTGATGTAGGGATCTTTTTCTTGAGCTAACTTGGGTTCAGGGTTGGGATAGTCAGCTATCTCTGGACGACTAGGATCACTTAAAGTAATAACCCTTCCAGTGGCATGGTCAGTAATACTTGTTTTTGTTGTTAAATACCTTATGTTTTTAACAGGCAAACTTCTAGATCTTATGCAGCTCTTGAAACTTCTCAATCCAACTCTGGCTATCATTATAGACTGTATGGATAGGTTTTCTTGATTTATTTCTATTGCTAGATAGTTAAAATCTTCATTTCTGAGAACCAATGAAAATAGCAGAGAATCAAGCACTCTCAAAATAGTTTGGTCATATATTACGTAAGCGTTAAAAAAGAGTGAACTGAATTTTCACCAGTTTCTTCCAGTGTGAGACAAAAGCTCCTTAGTTCATTTTATTAAGTACATAATGTGGCTACTAGTAGACTAGAAAACTTTTTTTTTAAACTATTCTCTCGTTTAAAGCGAAGTTCAGTTTTTTTTTTCTCTTTTTAAGATCACTTCCAAAACTAAGCTCACATCATTTCAATACACAGATTAAGCAGCAGAGCTACTGGATGATATCTAATTATTATCATGTATCGATTATTTACTTGATAACTGAGACTCGAATATCTTATTTCCGTTTATAAATGCATCTTCACCTTCGACAGCTTCAAGAACGCTATCGCCGTAAACGTTGCCTCCTACATATTTGGCAACGTATCCTACCCCTAAGAACACAGGAACAAATGCAAGCAAGATTATATTATTTCTAGCATTCCAATATTCATGAACTGGTGGAGGATTTATGTTGAAATTGTATTTATTGCTGAATGTAAGTTTGGCCCCCGAAGATTGAAATCTTTTAAACGTCAATCTAACATATCCTCTGGATCCTGTTGCAAACATAATGCCTTCTTAATTAAAACCTAGATTAATATAACAGCAAAGAGAAATGTATGCGTAGACCGATAATTCTTTTTACTTCATTTTTTATTGGCGTTCGATAGATAATCGAAATGTGAGTTTATTCTATATGCCGTACCAAAATAATCAATTTCACTTTCAATTTTGACTGCAAATATTTTCTCCTAAACAATATATTTTGCTCTAACCAGCTAGACATTATAACAATGGATGGATCAAGGGACACTGTGGGGTTTCTTAAAGTAATTACTTTCTTTAGCAAGGAGCCCCGACAGAGTACGAGCAATAGCGTGGTAGATGAAATGATAACTGTTTCAGGCCACTTAACACCATTCTTTGCTAAAGTTGCAAGCTGTAAAACAAAGCCCGAAAGTTTAAGTTTGAACCATGACTCTAAATTTGACACTGCTAATCAGATTCACTCTCCCAAGCTGCCAAATACGATACACCCTATTTATGCTAAGCATATTATTAAAGTTGGCCGTGAGCCAGACATATGTGATATTGTTATTAGTCATGCTACTATTTCATTAGTCCATTGCTTGCTATGGTCTATAGCATTCGATTCAGAAACCCCAGCTATTGTATACTTAAAAGATGTTTCCAAAAATGGAGTTTATATCAATGGAGTTCTAGTGGGAAAAGGAAATACCAGTATGATTCAAAGCAACGACATTATAGAAATTACGAAAGCCATCAAAATGATATATATATCAATAGTTAATTCTGATCGCCTTTTAAGACAGAGAATTCAACACTGGGATATCACTGAGAATGTTATCGGCTCTGGTTCGTATGGATCGGTTTATGTGGCGTATAAAAACAATAACCCCAAATGCTACGCTGTGAAAATTATAAAGGAAAGAATGAAACCTGATTTTAACTTTGGTCATACAGAGAAACTTAGAAACGAGGTTGAAATCTTGATGAAAACCGATCATGTATGTTTCTGAAATTTTTAGCGCATTTGCTCCAAATAATGCACCAAAATGAAAAAATATATACTAACTTTTACAGCCAAATATTATTAAACTCCATGATGCATTCATTATAAGAGATACCCTTTACATGTTTGAAGATCTCGTCTGTGGTGGTGACTTATTCTCATATCTTGTACAAGGAACATCTTTGAGACCAATTGGGGAGACAGAGACCATATTGATTGTGTTTCAACTACTTAAGGTACTTGATTACTTACATAATGACCTCAATGTAGTTCACAGGGACCTTAAATTAGATAATGTGTTACTACTGGCTCCGGTTCCATGTACGAAAATATACCTTTGCGATTTTGGCATAGCTAAATGCTTGAAAAGTCCAAATCTGAGAGCATCTACTTTAGTTGGAACGGTTGAATATAGCGCACCAGAAATATTTGGTACGACTTCTTGCTCAGAGCTCCCCAAACATAGCTCCATGATACTGGAGACGAATAGTTTCAAAACAATATCTTCAGAAGTTCAAGATCTAAATATGGGATACGATTACAAATGCGACATGTGGTCACTCGGAATAATGATCCACATTATGCTTTCTGGAATTTCTCCTTTCTACTGCGATGGAAATAATATTAATATAATTAAGACAGCTGGACAAGGAATCCTCAATTTAGACAGACCTGCCTTTGCTGGAGTTAGTATATCTGCTAAAAACTTTATTACAGGTCTTATTCGAGTGAATCCTGAGAACAGGTTCATGGCCAAAGATTGTTTTAGACAAACGTGGATCACAAGAAATAGGGAAAACTTAGACCGAATATATAAAGAAAAAATTCTTGGATTTAATTAGAGTTCCTAATGTAGTTGGAAAAAAATGAGAGATGTCTAAATAATATACAGGAAATAGTATGCTTTGTATGTAAATCACACACATCTGATATTGATGTGAGGTGACATATATATAAGTATATATATAAACATGGCATACCAGTCTTCTTCCCTAAGTGGTAATAGAAGGAATACACAAATAAATTATAATTCACAGCGAGATAGTGGATCACAATACGGGGATAAGTCCAATAGTAACTATTACAATTATAATCTGAATTACTATCAAAGAAAACAATATAGTAAAAGCAATTCTAGAGGTAATCATTCTAACACTTATGCAACAAGGACGAGTTATAACAAAGATACTTCCTCGGGGACCCAATCTCAATTATGGATGGGGGACTTGGATCCTAAGTGGAGTGAAAAAGATATAAGAAACATATGGGAATCTTTAGGAGAAAATCCAACATCAATCAAGATGATGAAAGAAAAAGTGGCGGATACAAGAAGTGTGAAGCAGCCTTATTGTTTCATCAATTTTGCTTCACAGAACTCCGCAGAAATGGCATTATTGAAGAACGGATTACAGATTCCTGGATCAACAAAGGCACTCAAACTAAACTGGGCTGGTAGTTCTTATGGAGGTGTTAGCAATGAATCTGTAAGTTTCACAGCTACAGAACATCAAGGAAAGACTCAAATGAAGCCAGAAAATTCAATTTTTGTAGGTGATTTAAATTCAGATGTTACCGAACCGATTCTATTAGAGTCGTTTTCCAAAAAATATCCTGGGCAAGTTAAGCAAGTCAAAATAATGCATGATCCTTTAACTGGGCTCTCGAAGAATTTTGGATTTGTACGGTTTTTCAACCTGCTGGTAAAACTGAAAGCACTTCAGGAGATGAGTGGCTTCATAATTAACAATCGGCCCATTAGGGTCGGTGCTGCTTCTGGCGTCTCCTCTGGTGTTAGTAATGCTTCACATACAAGTAAAGAGAGTATAGCTGTACTGGACACGGTAGATTACTCAAATATAAACTTATCTCAAGTACAGCCTGCGCTAAATCAGTTTACGGATTCAAATAATACTACATTAGTTGTCAGAGGACTATCTTCAAAGTTCTCTGAAGATGAGCTTGGAAATCATTTCATCGCATTTGGAGACATTGTGTACTGCAAGATTTCTGCTGATTTGAACACTGGATATATTAAGTTTTATTTGAGAGCGTCAGCTGAACTTGCGCTCATGTTTTTGCATGGATCAATTATAAACGATTGTAATTTGAAGGTCACCTGGGGAAAAAGTTCAAAGGTTGAGCTGAGGTACATCAATTTTGAGCCAGATAATTCTCCCGATTATAGCAAGGCAGAGCCAGGACCAGATTACGTGGGAGCATTCCTGCCCTATTATATAAGATTTGATAAGATAGTTCCACAAGAGGTCAAAGAATTGTCCTTAAAAATAAAAGATCAAGGTGATCCATTAACAACCACAGAAGAAGATGAACTTTATATCAAAAAAAGTATGCATAGAGATGAATTATTAGATGGGGCCCCTATTTAATAATATTTTACACTATTTAGAGAGTTATAACAATAAATGATGTTGCTCCGAAATACCAGGGCAGCTAGAATCCATATCACGCTCATCAAGAAAATATGCTCCACAATACCAGCAATAAAAGTGTTCTCGTCTCAAGAAGTTTAGAAGCGACATTAATTTTTCCTCGACATCTTCTTCAGAGCTGTCTTTTACTATGATGTTAGCTTGGTCATTATTTTCGCTTTCACCCAACAGGTGCCCAATTTTTGAAGAGCTTTTAGTTTCTGCTATTTTGCGTTCGAATGCATAGTCTTTCCATAATGGATTTATTTCCTCGATATCAAAAGAAGTTGGATCATTGAAAAGTCTATCTAAGTCACCACTAATTTCAAAACATATTTTAGATAACTCGCAAATGTCACGATTTAATTTACAGACTTTTTTCTCTTTAATCCTTCGGTCTCTATATTTTTCAGTATTCAAGTTTTCGTCGAACTTGTTCCCAGTAGCTCCAAGGCCAGCTTTATCCACCTTAGGTCGAAGCCTTACCGGTTCTAGATTCAGATTTTGTCTATCAAATCCCAGTCTTCCCAAAGATGTTCCAATCTCAAAACCCATCTTCTTCATAATTGAGAGACCTATGGACGTTGAGCTTGTTTCAAATAGAGACCTATCTAAATTGTTTTCTTGTTTTGCAACCTCAGCTTCTTGGACATTTTTCATACCACTACTTTCACTGGTACTCAATATAGAGCCGCCTACGTCAAAGCTCATATAATCTGGAGCATAGTCTTCGGGGTAATTTTCTTGATCGTGAAATGTTTCAGATTTTACTGTAAATTCTTGTGTTCTCTCTTTTTTTTTTAGGTCTCGTTTAAATTCATGTCTTGACTTTTTAAGCTGCATATTCGATTCTCTAGAGTCCAGCTCCAGTTCATCCAGTTCCAAAAACTCATTTAACGGATGCTTTATCATGGGCTCATTTCCTGTTTTTAGGCGAGTTTTTAATGGTGCAACTTTTAGTTCTAAAATATCACCATCTATAAAATATATCGCGCATTCTCATTAAAGTTTCTATACTATATATATAGGGAACATGCTACCCACAAAGAAACTGGAATCATCTAACCTATCTTTACCTGTTTCTAGAGTGAGCTCATCTCAAAGATTGTCTCAATTAAACTCTTCGACAGCTTACAATTCGATACCAGGAACACCGCTGAAGTATCTTTCATCTTCTCTCAATCCCACGAGAAATAGTTCAAATACTCCCCATGCAACCCTGCATTATGCCTCACAATACCCCGTAACAGGTGAAACGATACCAGTGATAGAAAATGTCAAGAAATTTGAAGAAACGTTCGTTACTCTTACAAACAACATATCAACATTCAAAGACCAAGAATTGGTCGAAAATATAAATGTATTAATTAACTTGAATAATGAGATAAATTCTTCTATATGTGACTTGGGAAAACATCAAAAGCTTGGTAAAGAGTTAGGGACTTTAAAAAAGGATGAAAATGATTTGAATCAAAAGGCTAAGATCCTTTTAAAGGAGTTACTTTCCTATCATACTGAACTCAAGAAACTCCCGAGGATACCGAATTTTCATGAAGGTTCACAAGATAAGGATATAGAAGTTAGAGAGATATTGAAATATGCACTGAAGTTGTCGAAATTCACAAAGGCACCACCGACTGTTGCTAATGCACCTTATCAGATACATCCCAACAACTACATTTGGCCCGCGGAAGATGCATTGAGAAGAGGGAACCTCGCAATTAGTTCAATTCGCTCGAACGAAATCATAAGTGAGGCGCTTGGTGGTGAAATTGCAAATAGTGAAAAAGAGCCTGAGCATCTCGACAACCATAGTGCGAAGTCAGGTCATTCGTCCGATAACGAAGGCTCTGACGTCGTGAGAAAATCATTGCATACAAACAGTACAGCTTCGGACGCTTTGGACATTGATCTTTTCGATCCTGATGAAGAACAATCAGACTAGTGATTACAAGAATTTAAAATCATAAACATATCAACTTTGAACTTTTACTCGTATACTTTATATTTTAGGCTTTGGCCCACCAAACATGTCACTTGGATGTCTAAAGGCACTTTTACTATATTCGCCTCCTAAAAGGCAATCTAATTCAAGTTGTTTGGAATAAGGCAAACCGGATGCTAAGTGACTTTTAACCAAATCTGCTAGACCATTAATAAATATTTCATTGCCATTAAGAGATTCGGCTCTCTTTATTTTTTGTGGATTTTCACATTCTTCGATTAATTCAATGTCAATCTCATGTAAAGTTTCGATATGATCAGAAGTAAAAGCAATTGGCACAATAATAATTCCCTTAACCTCATCTTTCTTCTCGAGCTTTCCAACAATCTTTGCCGTTTGCCCACCTAACCATGGCTTGGGCCCAACTTGAGATTGCCAAACTAAACGATATGGATTACAAAAGTTTAATTTCTCCATAACTGCATAAACCGTTGCTGCAACCTCCGCTGGATAAGAATCACCTCTATTTACTATCTCCATCGGTAGAGAGTGAGCAGAGAACAATATCAAGACATCTTTTCTATCCGCAACAGGAAACTCAGCAAGCTTATCGGCAATGTGAGAGCTAAAAGCATCAGTTAGGCCCGTATTCTTTGGCCAACGGTCAATAAAAGACCATTCGATTGACCGGTCCTTGTCCAAGGTTAGTGTCTGCTTATAGAGCTCGTTCATAGAGGAGCCCGTTGTTGAATATGAAAATTGAGGATACTGCGAAAACGCAACAGCTCTCTTAACGCCATCCTTTAACATATTCTCTAAAGTATGCTCCGTCAAAGGGTTAGCATAGCGAAAAGCCACATAAGGCTTATGTGGTGCAGTCTCAGGACTTTTCTCATCTAGTATTCTACAGACCTTTCCGCATTGGTATTCTGACCAGTATCTAATTGGTGATCCTCCTCCAATATCACGATAGTTTTTTTCAATGCTTGGGGTACGTCTTTTGGCAATAAGCTTTGCAATAAATTTTTGAAATGGACCCAAGGGGATCAAGTCCCGGTCTGAGAATAACCTAAATAAAAAGTCATATGTTTCTTTCACGCTTGAAGGACCTCCCATATTCATAAAGACAATACCAGTAGGTCCTTTGCCAGAAATTTGACTAGAATTCCATCGGCGAGATACTACCTTCGATTGATAGCGAACATGCTTTATTATCTTATCAAATATCATATTGAATAGTAAAATTTCTGCGACGACAGTTCGTATTAACTATAGCAACTTTACATATCAAGTTCGAATAAATTATTACGACACAAAAAAGAAAGAGCTCGATCTATTCGTATATTTCCGTATGAGAAAAAAAGTATAAAATAAGTGCCTCTAAGTTTTGTGCATTTTCATAAGCTCTTCCTTTCTATTCTGGTAAATTTCGTTAACCTCCGTTGCAAAGCTATTGTATGCATCTCTCAATCCTCCGAGCTCGCTATCCCTATTTTTGAAGGACGCCCATACGTCACTCAATTCTTTAACATAGCTTTCTAACTCTTCCTTATCTACTGACTGTAATGTTTCAATAGACGGAATTCCCAAAGGTGGAGCTGTTTCCAAATCCATATCTTTGCTTGCAAGTAGCATATCGATAGCAGTTTGAATTTTTTCGTTTTCTTGCTTTGTGAAGATTTTTTTGGAATCTTCCTTTCTTAACTGATTAACATCTTGGTGGCGCTTGCACCACAGAACAAGTTTTTTACCGTAAGGGCCTTTGAAGAGAAAAAATGTAACAAATATAGCTATTTGAACATAGAAGTAGCATATAGACCAGGCATAAATCGATTTCTTGAAATCTAAAATAACAAATGGTTGGACCACGAAGCCAAATGTTAATTGAGTAGTGAGGTAACAAACAATATCGTAATATTTTTTGCTCTTCTTAGGAGTTTTGCCATCCTTCTGTAAGAATATAGGGCGGAGGTTACGCCTGTAGATTTTACCTAATGACTGCATAAAGGCACCCATGACAAAAACCATGTAGTATCCTGGTCTTGTACCATGCCAGATAGCGCTAGTTGTGAAAGTGAACAAGGTACTTTTGAAGCCAGGTTTTTTTCCTGGTTTGGCAACTCGCATATAGACGTAATTTTTAAGCCACTTATTAGTATTCATGTTCCATGCTTCCAAACAAACATGAACGTTTTGACCAGTTTCAAAGGCATAAGGATCTATATTTTGAACGGCATTCCAGCGAAAAGAGTCCGTCTCGGCATCGTAACCATTGTAACCAATGCCCCCAAGGATACATGCTCCTTCGGCTATCAGCCATATTGTATAGTATTTGAGCCTGTAAGAAAAACCGAGCACCCAGTAATAAAAGATTCTGTATGTAAAATAATGCTCAGCGTAAAGTCTTCCATCAAGCACATATTCCACATTGACATACTTCGGTGACTGTATTAATAAAATTGCCCAAAAGAATCCCTGAAAGGTCTTCTTCATGGAAACTATGAAACTTCTAGGTATTTTCCTTTTACCTTTCCCAGGTCGTTTTGATTCAGGAACGTCGTCAAAGAGGGTCGCATGTATAAATTTGTCATAATCAGCATAGTCGAAAGCTGGACCTGTCAATAGAGATGCATAGTAAAAAACGTAGCTAAGGAATGGTAAAATATTGGGGTGCTTTTTCACCATCCTACTTCTAGCATATGGAGTGAGACTGTCCTTCGGTTGTCTAGCATCATACACATTCCAGCCAAAACCGCTTAGTTTCATGACCATAACCATTTGTGCACCCAATATGTCCACTTTAGTTGGGTCGTATTCATTAAAGAACTGAGCATTTATATGGTTATGGAAAAGATGTGTCATCAAAAACAAAAAATTCACCCAAGGCATGTATGGAGTTGTCAAATACCGAGTAATGAAATAACATCCAATCGATGAAATGAGCAAAGTTCTTAACCCTGAACCCAATTGAAGTATGACAAAAATGAATATTGAAGAAACACCTAGGATGTAAATATGTTTCAAGGTATAGTTTTGATCTGGTAGTCGCTTAAAGATTCCATTAAATGGAAAAGATAATAAAGCACATATTACTATCTTTAAATTACATTCATCAATCCCAGTTGAAGCCAGGAGACTTGATATCTGAAGTTGAATATAATTTATGATCATTATTTATTATTTAAGAGCTACTTTTAAATTATAATCGACCTTGTGTCCCGTATTTATGTATATGTTTCAGCACGTGACTTATAATATTCGTAGAAATGCTTATCTACTGATCTATTGTCTTGCCTGAACTAGCTTGTAGCCATACTCTAATGCCAGCGATATTGTTTCAGTTTTATAGGGGATAGCATTGAGTACAAAAGCAATATCGTTCCACTGTGACTCAGACTGGCATTTAGATAATCTAACGAACAATTTTTCAGACAATTGTTTTTGTTGTTTCTCTTTATCGATGAAAGATAGAAGGAACCGTATAATCCTTTTCATTGCATCTTTGCTTAAACTTTCGTCGCTAGATAAACCACTGAATATATCAATGAAACCATTGTATATCGCATTGTCCTTGGTGGCCAATTCAGCAAAAAATAAGCGGCACATATCGCTTATGCCTTGATCTGGATTTTCTAAACACTTAGCCATCGATGATAATTGACCCTTCACCTTAACCTGACCAGCTAGGATCAAAAAAGTGACAGTCATTAAGCATGTCCTTTGAACCATTATATTCTCGTCGTTGAGACGGCCATACAAGTAATCCGTACTCTCATCCACGAGATTATTGAAGCAAACAGCCATATCTCCAAGACCAAGTACACAATTACAGCGAACTACTGGATCCGGAGACTTCTGCATTATTACGAGCAAAAGCTGTAAATTTTCCTCACAATATATGGATGAAACGCACATGAGTTTAACCATACATAACACAGCTGACCTTTGGAGGACAGCATCATCATAATTATTATTATTGGAACATATCTCCCTCACAAGGCGACCAAATCTAGCCAATAAGGATCCCGAGCCATATAGTATTTCTCGTTCCTTCACTTGGATAATTGCATCCGAAAAATCATCCTCAGAGGTTCCGCCAATCATTTCGAGTTCATTTTGGTTTTCGTCTTCATTATTACCGTGACTTTTTTTGGCTTCCGATTCATGCTTCTTTTTTTTAAAGTCAGTTTCTAACCTTTCTAAAAAGACGATTGTTTTAACAGCCACATGTCCAACAATAAATAATAGTTGCGACAACGATATTGATTGGGAATGACCAGCAGGTAACCTCTTAAAAATTAGATTAGCTTTTTCCTTTATCAAATCTGCACATAGGACATCAGGTTTGCTTGATATCTCAAAAATTGCTGATACAGCCTGTTCAGCAACACCATACCACTCGGGACTCTCATCATATCGTAGAAGAACATCAACGAGTTTATCTGACGCATCTGATTCTCGAGGTATTTTGATTTTTCCTGACCTTTGGCTCTCCGATACATGAGGAACCATCCTCTGCAATGCTATACACGAATATTTCGCTAAGCTTAAATCCTGGGCATCACTCATTAGTCCTACACTCAAAAGCATGTCCAAGCCTCTCACAGCGATTTGGTAATCTGCCAATGCCAACATGCCTAAGATAATTATGGCACCACGACGCTTATTCTTTATTTGATCTGGTATCTCTGTTTCAACAACACTAGGGTCATCATAGTTGTAAATCTGCCATAGCACATTTATCACTTCGTTAGATATAAGGTTTCCGTCGTACATTAAGCATAACAATTTTTCCAATGAAGCCAAATCTGCTACTGATGCGAAAAATGTTAAGCCAATTAAATTCTTCGCTATATGAACAGACTTTTGTAAATTTGAGGCATCGCTGGGTGCAGTTAAGAACAATTCTCTATAGCAATCAATAAGATGAGCTGGAACTGACTTCCCTTCATCTGTTGTACCTTTCATCCACACGAGATGGAGCATTTTTCGAATTCCATCAGCAGCATTTTCAATACCATAGGCATCTGCAAGAACAAGGAAGTCCATAGATTCTAGTGCTTCATTCCTATTTTTGGAAAACAATAGCTTGGTGCATATAGAAGTCCCTTCTTGCACAGCATTGATAAAATTAACAGCATCCTTGTAGTATGTCGCCTGAAGCTTCGCCCTATAGAGTTCATTTGTGTCCGGCACACTTATTGACTTGTTCATCTCATTAGCTCCATTCTCACCTACATCATTTTCGGAATCTTCACGTTCTTCATTTTCCAGGTCTAGGTCAATATCATCGATCGAGTTCATATCCTCCTCCTCGCTTTGCTCTATAGACATGGAATCATTAACTTTACTATTGCTTATTTTGGTAGGAGAAATGGGTAAATATTGTGTCAACTTTGTTTCTGCCTCATCCAATTTGGTCTTCCAAAAATCGAAAGATAATTGAGAACCATGCGCCGTATTAAACTGGTGAGTCAACACAAGTTTTGACATCAATTTAATGGCATTGCGTCTTACTAAAGTACTCCTATCATCCAATGATCTGACGGCAGAAACAACAAAGCTCTGCCTATGGTCTGATAACTTTAGATTCAAATTTAAGACCTTACATATAGCTTGAAAAGCTTTTGCTCTAACATATGGGTTTTGATCAAGGAATCTCTTCTGAAGTAAGTCTAAAAGACCATCAATGTGCAGAGTGCCGCTCGATTCATCTTGATCAGAGTGATTCTCCTTCTGTGCGATGTCTACTATTATGTTTCCACATGCTTCAACTACTGAAGACCTTAAAGTTTGGTTACTATTGTCTAACAATTGAGAGATACATGACAATTGTTTCAAAATCAATTTCGGATTCAATTCAGATAATTTCACCAAGAACTCTGAAATCGCCTTGGGGCCATTGCTATCATTAGAATTGAACTGAGTCTGAGAAATTTCCCTTAATATCTCTTCGGTCAACATTGAATAATCATATTGTTCGGCTAATGTATGTAGCAATTCAGCCATATACACCGACAAATGGACATAATATGTCAAACTTTGAATAACGTAGTGCTGCACAACACTGGCTTGACCTTGCGTTTTAGCAGAGATACATATAATTTTGAATATTAGCAGTTTTATCACCGGAATTTTCATTCTTTCAGGACTTTCCATAAGGTTCATAATAGGGCGCATAAATAGCTCGATAAAAAGATCTCTTTCAGGGGAAGTGAGGAAAAGCTTCGATAAATCAGATCTCATAACAGTAGAGATAGCAGCCAAACAATCTTCTACCTGGCTGCAATTATCTTTCCACTTAGAGATGGCATCGGTGTTTGTTGTATGCTTTGATCTCCCCGAGGAACGAGCAGCCGTATGATCCTCTTTTCCTAAATATTTCAACACCACGTACATTAAATACCCATACTTCTCAAGTGTAAGTTTCATACTTTCAGCAGTATCAAAATAGTCATTATTCACAATCGCATTATAGTACAGTTCTCCTATTGCATTAAATGAGGAACTAATTAAGTACGATAGTTGTTTCAGTTTCTTTTGACTTAGCGCTCTAAATCCATGCACTAGATCAATCAAGTCCTCAAATAGCTCCGAGTTGTAATTGGTGGACTCCGGATTGTGCGCTAAAGAATGTGTAACGGATTCAAGTTTTTTATCAGCGTTATCAAAATTCTTAGTGTAATCTTTGTCCACATCAAAGGTGCTGAAATATGTGGACAAGCTAAAGTCCATTTTTTTACTTTCAGTTCTTATTAAAAGAATTTACTAATTAAATTAGTGTAGATGAGGATGAGTTCTTTAGTCTGTTGTTTACTTATTATTATCGTGTCTGATTATATACAGTACACACTACATATTCAAAGAACTGGATTTAGATACCTGAATGATGCTTCTGATTATGCTACAAAAGAGAGTGCGAACGAGAGATCAGTCTTTTAACTTCGCATAGCCCTTTACAACTGCTTTGTCAGTGCCAATCCTTTCATCTTCGATTACGCCAAGCAAATCTCTGGTAGTAATCGCGTTACTTGGGCGAATTTCTCTGAACCTTAAGCCGTTGTCTCCCCTTATTTGAATTATAGAACTCTGTTTGCCTGAAGTGTCTTTCTCAGAATTGAATCGCGAATCTTCCGAAGTAGCTGCGCTTGGAATCATCCATGAGTATTTCTTTTTTGGATTTGACGTCTTCATAGCCGCAGTTGCGTTGGCTGCTCTATGAAGTGTTTCTTCTGCACCAGCTTTACCTTTTCCATTAGAACCATCTCCTGCATCTGCACCATCTCGTTCAAGGCCCAACGCTATTCGTTTCGAAACTCGCTTCTCTTCAAGCTCCTTTTGCTTTGCCGCTATATTTCGCAATTCCTTAGAAAGCTCTGATCTTGGGACTGAGCTTGGTTTCTTACTTTTCGTATACACGTACTGTCCCCGACGACGATGACGAGATAAAGCTATTGTCTTTGTCACTATGTCAGCAATCCAGTTTTCACAAGATGCCGATATTGAATCTAAAAGGTCATGGTCATTATAAAAATTCTGCACAATGCCATTTTCTCTGGCAATTTTGTTCATAAATATAGCAACATGATAAGGATTCAAGAAGGAGGGATTTTTTGAAACTCTCATCATCAGCATCTGATCGCGAGATATATCTGGCCTTCTCGAAATCTGCTGTTGTAACAAAAGCTCCTCTTCCTGTTGTATATCAACTCCTGCAGCTGCAATAGCATCATTTAATTTAGATGGATCATTTGTATGATAATCATCTCTGTTACTTGTGTTGGTTGTCGAGCTCAAAGGCCTGTCTATGTTAGATGTATTCAAACCTTGAATTCCATGCGCCTGTTGGACTAAAGGATTCATCCTATTTATCGGAGCCGAAACTTTTTCTGACCTAGCTGCCGTAGTTATCAGGGGAACTGTGGCTCTAGACTCATAAGCAGGCCTGAACTCATTATTAGAGCCCAATCTTTCGCTCGGGGTTGCGCCTCTCTCATCGTTCGTTCCTTTAGTTTCATATGCATTGTCTAATAATTCTGCCGGCAAATTATCGAAATCCACCTCAAAACCGCCGCTTTTGGATCCATCGTTAAGAGATGACAGACCTTGGGGCGTCATATCTGTCCGCGGAGGTTCAAGACCAGGAATGGTATCTTTGAGAATTACACCCAACTGCTCCGAATCGCTTGGCTGCTCAGTTTTCTGTTTTTTATTAGATCCATTATCAGGTAGAGATTGATCTTCTTGTCTTTTACTGACAATTTGAGAATCCTTCTCAGTCTTCTCAGTCATCTTGTCGATTTCTTCGTTGGAGAGCTTGTATTGTGTGGTATTTGTTACCTATTTGACATCTTTGCGATACTTGGTCGTGTTAATGAACGTCTACATTAATCACGTGAGAGGGATGACCTTTACAACTATTTTTTTTTTTAAATCTGTGATGTCTCTAGTGAACTTCACATTATTACAATAATATTGGTACGGAAGAATTATTGTACCGATTATGCCTACGGAGAATCTTAATGTTTTATTTGAGGGTGCTCGCAATTTTCGTGTCAGATTAATACTTTCTGTATTGTCAGGAAGACCAATTAAAATAACGAAGATAAGATCTAATGATGTGAATCCAGGGTTGAAAGATTATGAGGTTTCTTTTTTGAGACTCTTGGAAGCCGTGACTAATGGGAGCCATATAGAAATATCATACACAGGTACAGCAATTAGCTTTAGACCTGGAATTATTATCGGAGGGGAGCTTACACATAATTGTCCTTGTTCTAAACCAGTTGGCTACTTTATCGAGCCAATGTTATATTTAGCGCCGTTTTCAAAGAAAAAATTTTCAATTGTATTTAAAGGGACTACGGCTTCAGATCAAACAAAAGATTCTGGTGTGGACTCTATAAAATGGGGTCTACTTCCATTAATGGAAAAGTTTGGGGTGAGAGATGTGTCATTGCATATTAACAAAAGAGGCTCTCCACCATTAGGTGGTGGGGAAGTTCATCTCCTTTGCAATTCATTGATTCAACAGCCAATTACAATCCATGCAATTGACTCACCCAAATTTTCTGCAATTAGAGGAATTGCTTATTGCACGCGAGTTTCCCCTTCGGTGGTCAATAGAATGATTGACACGGCTAGAAATATACTTAAACCAATTGGAGCAGAAGTTAATATAACCGCTGACGTGTTACGAGGAGATAACTCAGGTAAGTCACCTGGATTCGGCTTAATGTTAGCCGCAGAGCTGAAAACTGGTTGGAGAATTTTAACTGATGGTGTGGGATCAGCTGGGTCACTACCAGAAGATTTGAGCGAAAGAGTAACTTATGAGCTATTGGAAGAACTTAGAACTAGCGCATCTGTGAGCCAGAGCCAACTTTTGCTATGCTTAGTTTATATGTCGATTGGAAAAGAAGATGTTGGCCGAATTAAATTACATAAACATCAAATAGATGAAAAAATGATTTGGATTTTGCGTGATATTGAAAGCATTTTGGGTACTCATGTATATTTTAATGAGAGTGAAGACGAAGACAATTCCAAAGAGCATGATTATGTGATAGCTTCAATCAAAGGTATTGGGTTCACAAGCGCATCGAAAAAGTTGGTATAACCTCATGTACAAGATTAATAGGTCAAGCTTAACCATTAGAAACTAAATATGTAATAGAGATATAAATTACTTACCAGAACGAACACCATCCAATATAATGCTGGCATAGATTTTCCACACTCGTAGCTTGCTGAATTAACTTATCAACTTGTGTAGGGACATCCAATCCTCTCAACTTCTTAATATCATTTCCTGTCAACTTATCCGTAATCCTTTTTAGTACCAAAGCAGCTCTGGCATTCCTAATTTCAACATCATTCTGTTTCGCTAATCTGGCTGCCTCTCTTTCGTCTACTTGACCCTTTCTCAATAATTCAGTTGTATTAATTTGAGGAACTTTTATACCCGTAGCCTCAGCAACAGCTTTCGTTGGGAAATCAAAACCCCAATTGATTAAAGGATCATAGGCAAATGCCTCCAATATGGCCATCAAAGACTCTTTGTTGTCTCTCAAGACAGTCATCACGTGCTCACAAGTTATACGGAAGGATCCTTCAATTCCACTTACTTCCATAGCGTAATTAAGCATTCTCGTTAATCGAAAAGGTACCTTCTCGGGATATTTTTCTCTTAGTATGGCTGCCTCAAAACAATCACCGAAATCAATGTGTATTACCTTTCCTGTAATTCTATCGAGCATTAAGTTAGAAGGATGACGATCTCCTAAGCCTAGGATATATCCAACCATGGACATAACAGCAAGAGACCTTGTGTATGTTGTACGACGGTCAAGCCATGCTTCGGACGACTTGGACTTGAGCCACAAGACCTTATATAGATCTTGTCCTCTGGTATTATCCAAAGCTCCGGTAAAAACTTCTACTTTCTGCAATAATGTCAAGCTGTCATAATCAGGTGCCATTTGCAACATTATACGATGCTCGATATTCAACAATATCTTCCTAGATTCTCTATATTCCCTAATCAAAACGTGAAATGTATCACTATTAGGAACCCAACCAAGCAACCCAACCTTGGGTGACAATGGTATAGCAGAATATCTCTGAATGTCCAAATGTCTTTTAAAACATTCAGGGTCATTGAACAACAAAGTATTAACTAACCCGAAAAGTTGCATAACCAAGTTATCCTGTCTAATATCTTCATGACCTTTTAGAAGATAAAGGTAATCCTTGCCATCGCTACCCTTACAAGATAACTTCCTTGGTCGTTGTTTAGATGATATAACGGAGATCGTAGGATCAAATTTAGCAATTTTGACGACCGGTTTTCCTGCTTCATATGTTCCCGGGAGGGCTAATTCTAGATTAGTAGCTTCCTCTAACTTTGGAGAAACATATTGCAACTCCAAGCTGTGCAATTGAGTAAGTTGACGACTTATACGTCTGAATACATTGTAATAAATGTCCCAAGCCTGATTCAAATTTGTTATATCTTTCGTACGGCGAAAATTCAATACCCATTCGTAGGCATCTGCTAATTCACGACCAAAAGCGTTCGTAAAAGAAGACTCTCTCATCGTTTCAGGTCCATTTTGGAGCATTTGATGTAACGGCTCTAGCACTTCAAACATCTTATCAGTGTTACGTTCACCAAAGAAAAGTCGAGAAGCGTCTTCCAAGCCTTCATACCATTGTTCATGCCACAAAACAGCAACCCTAATTAATTCACGGCTTACTAGGCCAGCCTGATCTACAAGCACAGGCGAGTGCAACCGCATTTTATCAATGATAGAAAGAGCAGCTTTTTGGCGGCTAACGGACTCAGAAGTTACTGCAACTGCTAAAGGATACACCAATGCTTGAGGGTGAGCTTTCCCCAAATCAGACAAAAGACCAAACAAGGACCTACTGACTATGGGGTTCGGCTGGTGAATTCGGGATATTAACTGTGGGATGACTTCTAGCCAGTTGTCGATTTTTACCATATTGAAGCCCTCGGTCATTGCATGAGATGCTTCAGGAATTCCACCAAACTTAAACCACAATGTCAATAACCTAAGAGTGTCCTGTAGGGAATTTGAGTTCGACAACGCAATGGAGTGAAAGAAGCCCTTTATTGAAGGAATAACATGTCTCTGGACGGCACCTACTGGAATCATATTAGACTGACTCTTCTTGTCCTCGCTCGGAGCAATGTTAACTTGTTCGTTTTGCTCCATGATGTCACTTTGTCTTCTTTGGGTGTAGAGTGATATTACTTCAAAATTAGCCAAAGCCCAATTATGCCAAGCTTTATACCACTTATCATCAAAATGAGTAGCTAAAAGATAAGCACCTAGAATAATTTCAGATGTTTCATTACGCCAGTTTTGGTTTAAAGCTATTTGCCATTCACCTTGCTTTAAAAAGCAACGTGCCAAGAGCTTAGTATAATCTTCAACATGCTTAGGTATACCAGGGCCCTCAGAAGGTAATGGCTGGGTAATCAAATCATTCGGATTTAAACCCAAATCTTGTGACATTCTGGTAGTGAAGTCTACTAAGTGGCGCAATGCCTCTTTTTGTTGCCCTTTAGCCCACATATACTTTAATTGAGCGTATACAACCTGGGGTGGGGCTCTTGATGGATTTTCAGGCGAACCCTCTTCGAGTAAGAAATTCAATGACTTTTCTGCCAAATTCAATCTGCCAGATTTCCGGCAGAGATTTGCAAACTTTATCCACATTTCCATATCTTGCTTAGGCTTAATAACAAGAGCTCTAACCTTCAACATTCGTTGCCAAATATCAACATTTCTTTGACACCCAAGCAATCTTGTATTCCATGTCTTCCTCATAATGACGCGTTTTTCTGATCCCTGAGGTAAACACTTATATTTGATGATCTCTTCAAGTTCCGCAAGCATCTGGACCCTTACAACTACTCCATAGGCCCTGTTATAACTCTCACTAACGAGCGCGGTGATTTCTGTCACTAGCAAATCCCTAGCTCTCAAGATATGATTCGAAGCGTCTTCGAAGTTGTTTCTATGCAAGCTCAAGATAGCATTGAAAAATGCTTTATCAGGGGATTCCTCCTTCATGACTTCAATACAAGCATCCATTCTATCCCATTGGCCCAAACCCCAAGCAGCAGCTGCTGCTAAGGGAGCAACACTTCTTCTAATCTCACTAGATGAATTTTGCCATCTACTTTGGGCCAACTCTGACAATTGTTCCCATTCTCCCAAAGCATGTAAGCATCTCATTTTACCCATAGTAATCTCCATGTTATCAGGCTCATGTTTTTCTCTTTCATTATATGCACGTAAAGCATCATCCCATCTCTGTAACTTTTCATACCAAGTTTCTTTCAATTGAAGGTCGTGATGCATTTGAGCATGCTTCAAGATACCAACTGCAGCATCGGATTGCTGTAGTTGATTGTTTATGCTTATTAACGATTCAATTGTTGGAGTAGTTGGCTCTTCGTAAAACTCTAATTCCTTATAGTGGAGAGCCTTTGCATACGCATGGCACCTTTGAGCATATTGACCCAATGTACCAATCGCAATTGGAAGGGACTTATCATCATGTTCCATAAATTCTGCAAGATTTAAAAGAATTTGGTGAATTTCAGGTGGATTATTTGCAGATGAGAGAGCGATGCAAAACGCTTCAACTAATTCTTCCTGATGTTGTGAATACAATTCGTTCCAACAGCTGGCAAAGCTGGCGTTGAATAAGTCTTTTGCTAGAGGATGATAATCAGAAGAAAGACCCGCACATGCTCTGATAGCATGTGATGGACTTTGTTTCAATAATTCCTTACTGAGCCTGGCTATCCACTCTTGCCAATCTTCTTTTGTGTGGCGCTGACTTGTATCCCAAGCTGCTTTCAAAGCTGCTTGATTAACAGGAAGCTTTTTAGAGGGCATATCAACATCTAGAACACCAAAGTTCAGGTTAACATCGTAATCTTTATAAATGTTCAAGTAGGCAGGAAGAGGATCGCCACTGAGAAGTTTGTTCACTAATTGCTCGAAGGTCGATGAGTGAATTTTTTGTTCCAATAAAACCTTTTTTATGACAGGAATGAATACGCTAAATTCAGCTCCCAACTGAAGTAACAAGTAGCTTAATGTATTCATTGCAGTAATCTTAAGCTCATCGTTTCCCAGACGAAGTACTCGAAGAATGGGATGAATAATTCTAGATGCCATGTCGTTCAAAGAAGCATGCTTGGAAAGTCTACCAATTGTCTCAATTGAGGCACGTCTTAGCACCAATGGCCCAACTTCGAACATTTTAACAATGTTCGGGACGATTATATGAACATAGTCTTCAATATTACTCCCAAAAACAACAAAGCTTTTCAAAACGTGCAACGAAGGTTCTCTCTTGGCAGATTTGTCTTCTTCAAAAACATTCAATAATAGAGTTAGAACGTCGGACATGTACATTTTAAATTCCCCTTCTAGTGCCTTCGAAATTGACTCGATAAGATTTATGATAATGACTTGAATATTCAAATGACTATTGATCTTGAAAAATTCTTTTATAACATCAAAGATGCCAGACAAATACGGCCTAATGTGTTGTTTAACAATCAATATTAATGCTCCCAACTGTTGAAAATAAAATTTAAGCATTGATGGTTGACATGTGTGCATTACATTGATGATGCCAGGAATTATTTGTGAAAGGAAGAAAACACACCTTAGTCCCAATGTTTGAAATATATACATGACAGCTTGAATCACTTTATTGTGATGCGCACTCAAAGAAGGGTCTTTCAATATCTTCATTAGGTTGTTGATAGCAACGGTTGGATAATATTCGTCATTTGAAGGTGACATACCTTGCATCAATAGAGCCACATCTACAGGTGGAGCATTCTGTTCTGTAGTAATGCTTTTTGAATTTTGCTCAACTTCTCTATATTTGTAAGGATCCAACGCACCCAAAATTCCAAGTAATCTAACTGTTTCTCTTCTTATTCTTGGAGAAGTCTCCAGTTTGAGAATTCCTACCAATATCCCTAACAACTGCGGATACTCTAACAATGGTTCAATTACATAACCAGAAGAACTAGCTAACTGACCGAGCGTATTTAGTGCAGAATCTCGTTTATATGAAGAACTTTGATCTTGAAAAGTATCAAGAATTAGATCCATTAGTTGAGGGATAAAAGGCTTTAAATCAGGTCCGCCGACAACTGCCAACTCGCCCAAGCAAGTTATAGCACTAGATGCAACAGATGAGCTACTACTTTTAGCCTTGGGTAAAAGAGCAGCCACTATCGGTTTAACATAAGGCCTCGTCAACTCCTTCGAGTTACTTATCAACAAAGATAATAATACTGCGCTCTCTTCGTTTTTTCGACTACTTGTTGAATATTGCAACCTAGACAATAACTCAATTAATGTCTTACGCAAAGATGGGACAATGTAGGCTGGATTAATGGATGACAATCTACCCAATATTCTTATCGCAACTTTTCGTATTTCAAAGACTTCGTCATTCAAAGCAATGAATAATAACCTTACATTCTCCGCTTGAGATAACTGAGGATCAAAACTTCCGGCATGTTCCAAAGAGTTCAAACCCTGTAATCGGATCTCGGGCACTGGGTCAGTGATCGAAATTGAAATCAATTTGTCAAGAACTTCGTTAACGGCGTTGAGGGCATTAACACTAGTCTGGTGGCAAATAGGATCCTTTATGAAAATTTGACAGGATGTGACTGTAGCAGTCTGACGAACCTTAGGGTTATTATGTGTCAAATAATTTATTGTACAATATCGAACGAATTCATAAAGCTGAAAATTTTCGAACTCGAATGATGATAACATTTCCAAAGCCTGGATTAAAATTGCACTGTCGTAAGATTCGTATTCTGGACTATTATTTGTTATACCGGTATCACGGTTAATCATCAATTGCCTATACTCCCGTGCCAGAGACTCGTCCATCTTCACTGTCCCATAAGGTGATCCTGGTGGCTGAAACTTTTTACCCGACAAAACCAAGCTTAACAAGTTTAAGAGCTTGATGTTGATTAGATTTACTAGAGTTGGAATATTATCAATGAGGGTATGAAGCACATCTTCCATATGCTTTGATAAAGAACAATTACTGAACATCATGTCGAGAATATCCCTTTGCAAATGCTTTGTCAAAGCGGGCCCAACAGCAATTGATAGTTTCTCTATGCAATCAAAAATTGCTGGTTCTGTATCCCGTCGAGCCAACCGGAATTTAGCTGAAACAATTATAGGAGAGTCAGACAAAATCAGGGAGTTTGAATCAGAGGAAAGGCCTTCTCTAATATTATCTAAAATAGCATCAAGATACGTAGCCATTTGGTTTCCTACCTCTAGAGCTATTAAACCAATACTGACGAAAATTGCACTCTTATCAAAATTTGCTGTTTCGCTATGATGCCCCTTCAATTTCTTCAATTGTGATAGATAGTAGTACAAAGTTCTATGTAAATACTTCTCCACGAACAACGTCGTATTAACCTTGCATAATAAAGGTAATATATTTGTGAGCTCTTGCCTAATTATTGACGATTTGTGATTCTTGTATAGCATCGTGTTCTCATATATCGTTTCAAACTTTGACACAACATAAGGATCTCTATAATATTTCACTAGTTCACGGTAGACTAATAAAGACCCATGGACAGATTCAATAGAAGTATATACGTAGTTTTCCTCAACATTTTCAAGATTTTTTGATGCTATATCAATGAAGAATTTCATCCAATGATGGCGTGAGGCCACATCCCTTTCATATATTATTTGCATACATTTTCTTAGTGTTATGGCAGCATCCTGTCTTATTACAAGTTTATAATCTTTTAATGCTACCCAGATATGTTCTAATATCTGATTAATGTAACCAAATAGTAAAGTAGGTGCATTATCCCCTAGGGCAGAAACTATAAGTATCGCAGCATGTCTTCGGTTCTCATGTTGTTTGTTTTCACTTTGAAGCCATTCAATTGCTCGCTTTGCCTCAAAATCAACAAAGTCTCCAGTGAGTGCTCCACCTGGAGTTGCCAACTTACCCAATGTTTCTGTGGCTTGCCGCATTATAGTCAAATCATTCGACAAAATCAAAGATCCCAAGTAGTTAGAAAACCTAGCTGTTTTGGTAGCATTTTCATCACCTACTCCAGAATCAAAATCTATCAAAGCTTTCAAAGCTGCAATACCACCAAGTTTTTCAGAAGGGTCTTTACCATGTAAAAGTTCGAAAATTCCCTTGTTGATGTCGTTACTGTATCTATTGAATTGTTCAGGTGATAAATCTCTGGCTACAGAAGCCAAATGATTTCGTAGCTCAATAGCATATGCATTTCTCACTTCTTCCTTGTTAGACCGTAATTCATTAAAAATCTCGTTGAGTGCTATGCCAACTACTTGAAGTTGGGATGATGACATAGCTCTCCTTACAATTTGACAAGAAAATAGTGTATCCTCGATGAAGAACTATAACAGATATCAGACAATTGGTGGCGCGCACTACAAATTTTATAAGCTCGAGGATTATCAGTATTTATGGAACAGAAAAAAGAGAGAAATTTCTAACAATACTAGGTCCATATTCATCATAATCAGCTTTAGTATAGCAGTAGCTTTTGAATTCAGATGTCTGAGCGAGTAAAGATCCTCCGAACCACACTGCATTTCTTTGTCTTTTATGAGAAATAACCTGTACATCAACACCTGTACTTTTCACGCCGCTTAATCTTTCACTGAGTTCGATTCTCTCATTAGCCAAACCTTTTAAATCTCTCTGCAATCTTCTGCCAAAGTCTTTGAACATAGTGGACCCCCCAGACAAAACAATGTTTTTGTAAAGCTTTTTTCGAACATCAATGGGCGATGCTTGAATTACTTGGTCCACGACAGTTGGTAGAGGTGTTAAGTAATCAGAAGAGTAAATTTCCGGATTGAAAAACATTTCTGGGGCTAAAAATCTCTCATAGCCGACATCGACAGTTTTCTTCTTGTCAGCGTATTCAACTATATACTGAGCAAACTTTTCTTCAGGATATTGGTCGAATTTCTTAAATTCCTTTACGATATCAGGACAAACATAGCAAAATTGCTGCTTAATCTTCTCAGCTGTTTGTAAGGATGTATCTGACTCACCCCTATCTCTCAACAAAGACTGTATGAATGTCGTGATATCCCTTCCTGCTAATGGAATATTCTTTATTGCAGTTCCAATTACATATCCTTCCGCAACAGGTATAACGTGGGTTACTCCATCTCCCGAATCTATAACGGTACCCGTTAAAGATCTATCTTGCACTTTAGAAGATGTCCACGAAGCAGCCAACGCCAAGACTGCCTGCACAGCTATATATAAACCAGCGCAGTTGAATGATTCAAACATGATTTCGGCAGTACTCTCCCTATTTTCTGGAGGATTTAGGGGCGGTTCGGTCAACAAAAAGTAATGGTCCTCTGGTTCACATCTCAAATACTTGAAAATCGAATTCTCCCAGAACCTTTCCATATGATCCCAGTTTTCGACTTGGCCATGCTTTACTGGATAAGACAAATTATAGTTCGGACCATTCGCAGCACTTAGTGCCTCATCCCCAATGAAAAAATCCAAGTCCTCTAAACCTCTTTTAGAAGACAAAGATGAAGATTTTAAGGCAGACTTTGATCCTTTAACGGACGAAGATGAAGTAGCAATAGCAGTTGGAAAGACAAAAGATGGTGAATCATTTCCTGCGAATCCTAATTTCGTCAATCCAGTACCATTGTCCATGACAACGGCTGGAGTTCCTAGCGATGCCATAGCTTTATTTAATAAATCAAACTTAATTAATGTAAGTTACAAGAGTAATCTCTCTCAATTGATTAAGCAAATACTGAGGAACTCTGTAACAATAACTTCTCCTAATAATTATCTCAATATATATCTCTTTCTGGGCGCGACACTAAAATAGAAAATAAATTGAGAACTCAAGAGTCGAAGAGTTGAAATTGTGCTAATTAGAATTCTACTTATAGCTACATAGTTTAATATTCATCTTTAGAGCTGATGATGACATCATTAATCTTAAGTATCATCCTTGTTAATTGAGTGGCAAGTAACAATTGTTGCTTCTTCCCAATTAATGGATCAATCACAAAAAGTTCCTTCATGTCATTCGTTCCTTTACCTAAACAATCAACTCCCAAGTGAGAAACATTTTCATTCACCTGCTTCGACTTTAGACTAGAGAGTGTTTCAATTGGATCCAAGCCTGAATTTTCAGCCAATGTCATAGGAATAGTATCGAGAGCATTCGCAAAAGCCCTAAAAGCATACTGATCTATTCCCTTCTGCTTGTCAGCTGCTTCGCCTACAGCTAGGGAGCAAGAGAGTTCAGCTGCTCCTCCTCCGTAGACAATTTTACTATCACGAATTAGATTACGAACAACGCATATTGAATCGTGAAGAGCCCTAATACCTTCAGCAACTATCATCTCGTTGGACCCTCTAACAAAACATGTCACAGCTCTTGTATTCGAGCAGTCTTCGATGACTAACATGCGGTCCCTTGTAGTTCCAAAGTCAAGTTCCCTTACAACTCCTGCCCTTCCCAACTTGTCTTCAGTTAAGTCCTCGAATCTTGAAACAATACGTCCATTGGTAGCAATGGCAAGTAGCTCTAATTCAGAGCCACCAATCCATCTGATTGCCGCCAAGTCATTTGCAAGTAATAGATGATTAGCTTCATCGTCAAAACCCCATTGACAGGCAACAACATTAGCGCCCGAGTTTTTAACACTTTCGATCATCTCCTGAAATTTTTTCTGCTCATAATCCTGCAAAACTTTAAACTCTTCAACCGTTGAAATGTCCAACTTATGCTTAGTCTTTGGTTTTGGTGGCTCAAACGGGCAAGTTAAAATAGCAATTTTAGCATCTTCAACTTTCTTTGGCATTTGAGCGTGGGAGAACTCTTTGTCCAATAAAACACCTTTGATTAAATGGGAGTCTTCTATTGATCCACCTACCTTGCTCTCCATTTTTATTAATTCAAAATCGACATCCTTTCTTTTAAAATCAGCAACAGCCAAAACAGCATCAACAGCCATTTGAGCAAATTGGTTGTGAGATTTTGATACTATTTTAGATCCTAAAGAAGTCTTAGCTGCCTTTAATAAATTAGTGTCAGTACTTTCATTAGTTATATCAATTTTTTCTGCTACTTTATCCAATTGTTGACAAGCAATCTTACAAGCCTCGTCAAAACCATTTGCAATTTTAATAGGATGAATGCCCTTTTCAAGTAATTCCAAAGCTTGATCAAGGAGCGCTCCAGCTAGGACAACAACACCAGTTGTTCCATCGCCAATTTCGTCATCTTGAGACTTAGACAATTCCACCAATAGCTTGGCAATCTCATTATCTAAATCTATTTGTGAAAGAATTGTTGCTCCATCGTTTGTAATAGTAATATCTCCATCTTGACTAACCAATATTTTATCCAATCCTCGAGGTCCTAATGATGTACGTATAATAGAGGCAACTGATCTAGCAGCTAAAATATGAGATTTGGTGGCTTCCACGCCATGCTTTCTTTGCTTCTTGCCTTGATCTCTAACAATAATAAACGGCCTACCCATTTCATCTTGGGCAACTATGGCGTTAGATAAGTCTGGGATCCCTTGCGCTGCTGCCATATTGCTATATTCTTATTAAATTAAAAAATTCTATCGCCGCTGATTGATATCGTCAATATTTTCATAGTTCAAAAACACTTTTGAGAAAATCTGTTCTGCTTGCTTAGGTAATCAATATATATATATACAAATGGATATAAGATCTACAGGTAAAGTTTACTGATATATAAATACAAGAGGAAATGTCATATTCGCCACGCAACGAGAAATAGACACTATTTTTTGAGTTATTAATTTGATAGTATCAAAACTCAGAGGACAACAAAAGAGAGGACTTATACATAGCTTGACTACCATGAAATACTTTTCTGGTCAATTAGATTTCATATATTATTGATAAATTAAGAATAGATGAGACTAGTGAGAAAAATGAGTCCGAGCAGTATTAATTACTTTGAACATTGAGATCGGTGACTTGAATTTCTTGAAACGTTTCTAATTTAACTTTTTTTTTTTCAGTATATTCAATTCTTGTCTTAAGAATTTTTTTAAATTTTTTTAAATTTTTTTTTTTTTTATTTTTCTTT